TAACAACGTGACGTGGTCGGGCATCAATTAGGTGGAGATTTTTTCCAAATTAAATTGGCCAGATACTTCGAGGACAAAAGCCAAAACGTAGGGTGGTGTAAGAATACGCGTTTGGGGGAGGGGTGCCCCCCCCCCCCCGAACGCGTATTCTCCAAAAGGGCACAAAGTAATGAAAGCATTTGAGGTAAAAAGTTTAGTGATGCCACAAGTTATAGTGTTTTGCTGTGTTTTGTTTTGTTTCTTTTTTCTCTTGGCTGTTATTGTTTAGGTTTTTCCAACCACGAATATTTCGTGTAATTCTTTTTTTGTAACCACAGGTGAAAAGCATATTAGCTTTACACTGAACGTCCGTAATTTTTAAACTCCAAAAAAGCGGCCGTATGCAATAAACAATTTCTTCTCATATGCCGATTGTTGTCCACACTTTTGTTCAGTTGCACAAACCTTTGATGACATATCCTCTCGAAATGAAAATGTCCAGACCCTTGTCGGTATTAAAGTTCATTTTTTTCCCGGAACGGACGCAATAAGGCAAAATTTTCCGATCTTTTGTCAAAATATATTTTCATAATTTCACACCCAATGCCAAAGAAAATGTCGTCAAAAGGTAATTATATGAAGCTCTTTCCATTTGTGATATCAGATTTTCCAAATCTTACCAATTTATGTTAGATACGGAACTGTCCACGAACTGTAATGGCCACACTACTCTCTAAAAAAATCGAGTGATCACGGACGTCACTCCTCTGGAGAGTGAAAATGTAGTGAAAATAGAGTGAACATTCACTCTTTTCTTCTTAGAGAGCACTCTAAAATCAATCGATTTTCACTCCTAAACAAGTGATCACGGACGTCACTCCCAAGAAAGTGAAAATAGAGTGAAAATTCACTCTTTTTTTTTAAGAGAGTACTATCATGTTAAAATGTACTGCGCCTGTATACCGCGGCATGTCTGAACAAGCCCATTGCAGGCTGGTCTAAAGCCAGAAAAAACAGATAGGAAACTTGACCTAAAAAAATACAACAATACATATTATATTTCTAATTATTTGAATCACTACAAGTCTCATTATACGCCTATTGTAACAGTTGTAGGTTATCCGTTGGGCAGTACTTTTTGTTGTGAAGAAATTATCCTCATTAAAACCCACAGGCTTCAAGGTCCATCACCTTAATTTGAGCAACTTTACATCCAACTTTCAACTTTCAATAAAATGAATCGGCAAACTAACCATTTTTACGATTTGGAAGGTCTTTCTTCGTTTCATCTCGTCGAGGTTTTACATTAAGAAGGTAACATGACAAGAAATATTATATAAAGCGTATACCGATTCATGCACAAACATGTCTACACAGCCATCCCAGGGAATCACGAGGGAACATGGTCGCTGTAAAGGCGACATTTCTAAACAGATTCTACACATGCACACCTCCCTTCAGGTACTCAATGTAAGTGATCTTTACAGACAGGTGGCCTTTATAGAGAGGTGGCCACTAATAAATGACTGTAAATGCACTGCTTCTAAGATTGGAAACACTGCTTCCAATGTTGTATGATGGCCGGAGGTTGTGTGTCGGGACACTTAATAGACATAAAGCCTTCTCTTTTTCCTTCGGATTCAATGACAAATATTCATCAAAGAGCACTAAACATCGTGAATATTTGTTCTTTATTATAATCGCCAACAAACGTCTCAGATAATTTAAGAAATATTGCTAGTAAATTTTTTTCAAATTGTTATTTTAAATCAACTGTCAGGACAAACACCACCTGGGTATATCAAATAAAGTGTTTTCTATAATATTACATAGTTACAATTAGGGGGAGGGATACAGTGTAGTGTTAACTTGCCCATTTTGTTGAGATTAAATTCACAATCAAAGGCTTTTCTAAAATGGGAAATATCCTGAAAGGTTTAATGTCTAGTAAAAAGAAAAGAAAAAAGAAGAAGATCTTCCGAAATATGGAGATCAACTTTGAAGCAGAATGAATAAAGGTTGTAAGCTGACTCAAGGAATAGAACAATGGAAATAGAACAACCCGATCTGAGCTTCTTGAAAGGAGAGATACAGAAATAGAGACAGAGAGGACAAAGTAAGAGATAGGGGGAGAGAGAGAGAGAGAGAGAGAGAGAGAGAGAGGGAGAAATAGAGAGAGAGAGAGAGATAGAGAGAGAGGGAGAGAGAGAGAGGGAGAGAGAGAGGGCGATAGGCAGAGGGACAAAGAAAGATGGAGCGAGAAAGAGAGACAGAGAGACAGAGACAGAGGTCAAAGTAAGATAGATAGAGAAGGATAGGGGGAAAGGAGGTTAGAGAGAGGGGGAGAGAGGGGGTAGAGAGAGAGAGAGAGAGAGAGAGAGAGAGACGGGAAGAGGATAGACAGAGGGACAAAGAATGATGGAGCGAGAGAGAGAGATAGAAATACAGAGAGATACAGAGCGAGAGAGAGAGACAGGGGTCAAAGTAAAGAGATACAGAAGGATAGGGAGAGAAGGGGACATAGAGAGGGGGTAGAGGAGAGAGAGAGAGGGAGAGAAAGAGAGAGAGAGAGAGAGAGGAGGGAGATGGAGAGAGATAGGTTGCATGACTCAAGGAATAGAACAATAGAAATAGAACATCCTGATCCGAGTCATCAGTCAGACCTTCTTGAAAAGTATCAATTTGCAAGAATTTTAGAATTGTTTTTGTCATTATAGCTTTAAATACCTGGCGCAATACAAAATTATGTATATTATTATTATTACTACTAATTTGTATTATTATTACTTACTTTCTCTTTTCAACCATGAACATGTACATATCATCTCTTTAGAGCGAGAAGGGAATTAACTCTCTGTTTAAGTATCAGAGTTAACACCCTTTTGACAGATTTCTGGAAGACAAATAAACTATACTTGATAGTTGATTTTATTGCTGTACGTTTACATTACATGTTTCTTCTCTATACACCTTCTTTTCTCCTGCTCTTCCAATTTGTTCCATGAGATGAGTAAAAGTAATGAGTATCATTGCTTTTGTAGTTCTTCGAGAAAGAAGACCTGAATAATTTATATATATTTTGTTTTGCTTCAGCCAGGACTTCCTTAGCCTATCCGATAGGCGTCGGGCTAAATGGCAAGTGTACTAATCACGTTATGGAGAGTGACATCGGGCGTCAGCTCGGGCTGACGCCCGATGTCACTCTCCACAAACGCGATTAGAATACTTGTAAAGCCCGACGCATATCGGATAGGCTAGGGCTTCCTATACCTAGCACTACGCACCAGCATTTCTAAGAACTAGAGACTTGTGAGCTAAAGGTTTTCTAAAGTCCATGTCTTGTACATGTAGGCTAATTTTAAAAAGAATAATAATACCAGTAAGAGCTCTAAACAGATTAAAAAACTAGAAGTCATGTGATTTTTTACTAAAGATGTCAAAGACAATAGCCTAATGAAACAAGTGAGATATTACAATGACAACATCACAGAAGAAATGTCACTTTCCTATAGTTGAAAGGACAACAATCTTTTTGCATTCTTAAATCTTGAAATAGACTGTTGTTACAATCTTGAAAATAAATATTAATAAACACTGGTAACCTTGTTGTCTCTATTCTCGTGGGAGTTTTGGCAAATACCAGTATTTCATATAATATGACAATGTAATTGCTTCCTTTCTATTTGTGAATAACGAAATATATTTATAGCCGTACTATAAATAGTAGGTCTATTTTTAATTCAAATATAACGCCTACGATCCATTGTCAATCAGGATAAGAATAGTAAAAGGGCAGCAGTATTAGCAGAGATAAGTTTGACAACATTCCGTGTTGTCATTACATTAATCATATTTTATGTAATAATTTAAAATTCTACTCTGAGCAACATTGTGTTTTGGGAAGTCTGGTCAACAAACTAAAATTCATAGCTAAAAAGTTTAATTGTAGGGAAAAACAGTGACTTTTAACTGTTTATGGTACTGCAAATGTAGTAAAGATATTTACATTAATCCTTCATGCAATGAACATCAGGTCAACATTTGCAATGATATGGATGTGTCTCTTGCCTGTAACTATATTAAAAGGTACTCCAGAATACTAATGAATAATTGACTAGATATTATGCTGATATCTAGAGTTTGTCTAACGCAGCGCCACATCTTTCAGTAGAAGCTGACATATTGTGTTTGCCTATACACTCAATCGGTATTCTATCAGTTGTCAATAATAGATATGAAGATTTTAATTTATACTCGTCGTGTTAAATCGTCAGGAAGGGAAAAAGGGAATTTAGTACGAGAAAAATTCCTATAATACGAATGTTGTTGGGTGCCCCAAATTCTCCAAAAAATAGATGGCAATATTTCACTCTAATTAATTGTATCATAATGTGAAAAAGGATGTCATTTAAAACACACTTCTACAAAGATTTCCCCTCAAAAATGTGTTTGAAGACAAATATTGATAAAAAAAATACATAATTTAGGTTTTCTGTTATACACAGCAAAACCTAAATGTTGTTTTCTTTCATCAATATTGGAATTCAAACAGATTCGTTTTGAAGATTATTTTTCACACATTATGGTACATTAAGTAAAATTTTGCCATCAAATTTTGGGGCTCTCAACACTTTGCAGGGGCTTTAAAGTTCTCTTCGAATGGTATAGAATACATTGTGATTTGATAGAGAGAGATAGAGAGATAGAGAGAGAGAGAGAGAGAGAGTGAGAGAGTGAGAGAGTGAGAGAGTGAGAGAGTGAGAGAGAGAGGACTAGAGAGATAGAAAGATATAGAGAGAGGGGGTAGAGAGAGAGAGAGAGAGAGAGGGGGGGTAGAGAGAGAGAGAGAGAGAGAGAGAGAGAGAGAGAGAGAGAGAGAGAGAGAGAGAGAGACTAACAAAAGAGAATGACAGAATGAGATCCATTGAAAAAGAAATTTGGAATACCATAAATTCACACAATCCTCCCAAAACCTTACCAAATAACATGCTGAAGCTGAAAAAACAAAAACAAAGAAAGCATTTTCTTCTTTGACACCTTATAAAAGATGAAGAATTTATTTTAAACACCTTGCTGGCATAAAACTAAATCAGAGTGCTAACAGCAATCAATTATGATTGTTCTACAAATGTTTCAGTGTCTAGACATTTCAGGAGACTAGTATACATGTAATCAAATCAAAATTGGAGGAGGGGGTGGGGGTGTACTCATTTCCCTGCAGGTCCATAAAACCATAGCTTCTTTATTCCTAATCAAACACTTTCCATATGAGAAGGTTCATAATTCTGAACGTTTGTTCTATTATTCAAAAGTTCACAATTCTGAAAAATTATAAAAGGTTCCATCTCACTTTCCGAATTATAAGAACTCTTTCATTTCAGAATTATGAAGCTTCAGAATAACAAACCTTTGGAATAATTAAATATTGTTATGTAAAACTTCCAGATTAATGAACCTATGAATAATAAATAAATTCGAAATATGAATCTTCGGAAAAATGACACATTACCCCAAAATGAAATTGTATTGACATCCGATATGTGAGTATAACTTCTTAACACATCAATCAAGTAAGATTCTGTCCTAATAAATTCACTGAAAAATAAAAACAAACATATTGAAAGCAACAACAAAATAACGATTAGCCTTGTTCACCTTTTGATTGTGTAAATTTCAAATTTTTTCAAGGAAAATACACATCTTTCACTGACTAAAAAATTGCGTTCGACTGCATGGTGTATACAGTGAAACCTTCGGTAATAAGATTTAAATATGTATCTTGTTCACATCGGTTAGAAAGAGATCACATCTCATACATGTCCTTTATTTAAAATCATTCTAAGAATTAAGCAAGTAGTTTCATGAAAAGCTCAAATTTGAGAAAATAAGGAACTCAAGTGTTTTGTTTGACCATTTTTAAAAATCTTTTACCCTCACATTGGTATCCCATATATTGTCCTCCAAGTCTGCATTTTATTTCAACATAATCGTGTGGTTCTACAAAAGATCTCAATATTAATGTGATAATGACTAGAAATAATAACAATAATAATATTGAATATTTATGAAGCGCACATACTAGTATCCACCATGCAAGGTGCTCAAGGCGCTTAAATATTACCCCGGCGCTCTGCTAGGCTTCCGATTTCGGGGCTCACAGAATTCAAGGAATTCCTTCCTACCGGTACCCATTTAACACCTGGGTGGAGAGTGGCAAATATAGATTAATATCTTGCCAAAGGACATTAGTGCTGTGGCAGGACTCAAACCGCAGACCCTGTGATCCACAGTCAGACGACTTATCCACTAGACCACAGCACCTCTATAATGTGTTATGATGATGCATGTACATCAAAATAAGACTTTTTATCTATCTTTTAAATCTTTTCAATTCACTTAGAACATGATAAACTGTGTTGATAACTTGATAAATAATTGTTTTCATGTTAAAAAAATTCTTTCCAATATCGCTTGCACATAACAACACAATAGTAATAGACATAACATTCATAAATAGATTCTTATTGTTAAATGGTCTGCTTGTAATTATTTTTCAATGGTTTGAATGTCTAAGGATCAAGTCCTGAAATAGTTTAGTATAAATAGACTCGTACAAAATTAGTGTATCATGTAAATAAACATCTAGCCATAAACAAAAGACAAAAATTACAAGACACATTGAAGTTTCATAATTTCTCCCTAAATATTAACCTGACAATATTAAATCAACCTGAAAATAAATGCCCCTCCAAAGGTCTTTATTTGGTTGTCTGTCAGTATTAGTAAGTGCACATTCGAGGTTAACAATTATTTTAGTGTTTAAAAGCAAACATGGAGATAATTCGAGAATGAACACCATAAATGCAAAACTGAACCGATGAACTTTCTGCCCTAGCATACGGTTTATTGCACAGCGCCATCTCATGGTCAACTTGCCAACAGTGAGTAACCCAAATGCCTTATTTCTGCTTTGCAGACTGATATGAGAATCAACAGAGCAGTGAATTATGGGACCATACTGCGCCTACAGCTGACTCTAGATGGCGCTAGAGGAGCTCTTCTAGTGAATTCTGGTTTTAAAATGCATGATTGATGAAAATAAATAAATCATATCCAACTGGTTACCTACTAAGAGGAAATGCATGAGAGAAAATCCGTTTTGAGGTAGAAACTTAATAAAATTGAACATGCTAAATAATTTGGAGCATTTATGTATCATACTAAATCTAAGTCAAACTCCAATGATCGCTGATTGATAATTTTCCTAACATGTTAATTCTTGGAAGATTTGAGTGCACCTAACGAAGAGAGCTTTCCTTGTTTTATATTTTACAAATTTTTCTTAAAATATCTTTTGGTATTTGTTTACGTGGCTAAATTGCTTTCTATGATTTATATGATTATCTTCATCAATACCAAACTTCTACACTAAAAAGTGTACTCCCACAATCACCAGTTTGAACATTAAAGCACTTCTATATTTCTATATAAATGGTTACATTTATCAGTCAGTAATTAATTAAATAATAAATATATTAAGATAATTTTATAGCGCACATATCCACCTCCCAAGGTGCTCAAGGATTTCTAATTTTAACCCAGTTCTGCTAGGCTACCATTTTCGGTAATACAGCATTTAAGGAAATCTTTCCCACAAGTTCTCACTTTACACCAGAGTGGAGAGTGGCAAATGTAGATTAATGTCTTGCCGAAGAACATTAGTGCCCCGGTTGGGAATTGAACCACGAACCATGTGATCCACAGTCCTACAATGTATCCACAAGACCATGACACCTCTAATGAACTGAAACGCTGGATTATATCCCAATAGCATATGTAAAACAATACATAAAGGAAACAAGCATACTTCCTAAGGCAGTAAAATTGTAAAAAGAACACAATTATCAAAAGTATATTTACATGTGTGTAAACTTTGTAGTGAACTTTCTTAAACTTCCAATAAATAAATTGTTTTCATAATTAAATGCATAGGAAGGCACATTTGCAAATACATTTTGATAATACTTCCTTCTGGCTGAAATTCAATTCTTAATAAATCAAATGCTAAAATATGAAAATATTCTGTTCCAAAATAAAAAAGCATATTGCACATTCCTACACCACATGTAAGAATAGACTGAGTAATATTATCTTTTCTATTTCATTTCACTCATAACATACATGTATAACTTGGGGCTTTGTGCATTTAAATATCACATCTGCAGAGAGCCAGGAAGCTGTCAACTCTTTGTACATGAATGGGATAATGCCGTTCAGTCTCTCAGAAGGCATGAGGTATGTAGCCTGAAAAAGGTGAACATAAAAATACTGCTACGGTCTTACAATTCAATAACAAAAGTACTCTGGTGTGTGACTAGCTGGACTCTCTCATTTCCATGCTACACTAAGATTGTAGTTGCGTCTCTTGACCAGCTTGAGCCAGCCTTCATAGTCTCTCCGTGTGATACTGAAGCAGTCCATGAGTGTCAGGGTCTCCAGGACGTTCCTATCGTCTAAGATCAGTCTCGAGATGGGAGCTCTGCTGACAGCATTGCATTCATGAAGGGTAAGAGACTTCAAGCTGAGGAAGCCATGGCTTTCTACCGCTTCATGGAGGACAGAGTCTGTAAGTGCGTTGACCCTGATGACCTCCAGTGACCTCAGGGCATGGCAGTGTGGAAGCACAGTGTTGAGTATGGCAGATGTTAGGGCTGTGCTTGCGTTGCTGCACCACAGTGCAAGCTCTTCAAGGTGCTCAAAGGGAGTGCTATTCAAAACACTTCCATATTCTCCAGAGGTGAAGCTAGCGCTGTCTGACATCATGAAGACCAGAAGCTTCCGTAGATGAGGACAAAGCTGACCCACCAGATGAAGGTCAAGACCATCAAAGTCCTCCAATGACAATACTGTTAGCTGTTGACCATGTAGTCTGAGATAGTTCAGAAGAGCACCTTCAAAGGTCAGTTGATCTGAGCTGGCAAGTTTCAGTTCCTTGAGGTGTTTCAGACGCAAGAGGTCTGTGAGACCAGCGCTGGAGAACCCTCGCGCAAAACGCAGATCCAGCGACACCAGTTTGGGGCAGAGGAAAGAGATGAGTTTGATGTGGTTGTCCGTTACATGGCTGAAGTCTGTACATTCTAACATCCTTAGGCTGGTTTGTCCCGTCTCGTTATTATTGATTGAAGAGGTTTCCTGACCTAGTGTTGGTAGCTGCAGGAGATACTGATGCTCATATTCCTCTGTGATGGGTGATTCTGCGATGATGCAGCCAATGAGGTTTGAGTACAGGAACTCCTGGAGTTGCGGGATGGTTCGCAGCAGGGCTCTGATACCCATGTCAGTTACCATGGATGATGACAAGTCTAGCTTCCGCAAAGAAAACCTCTCCTTCCGCATAGCCATGTTACAGAGTACACCAACATCATTATCACATACCTGAATATAAAAAATTAAAAACAAAAGACAAAATGCTAGAATACTTAGTAACTTATATTTACAAAGGAAACCCTTTTAAATAATCAATGATAAGGTCTACATCTAATCCATTTGTAACTTGTTGGTTTAAAAAATACCAAGAGCTTACCAAAATTCATTTCTTTTATATGTAAAGCTAGACTTTTCTCTTTCATTCTGCCCTTTCCTCAAGAATATGATCTCAATGTTGTGTAAACAACGATCAATAATGTAAATAATGGTCCATACTCTTTAGTACATAGAAAGGGGGTTATGAATTCCATATAATAGGAAACACCTTGTTTGTCTCTCTTATGCTAATTTATGTTAATTATACTAATTTATCTCTCTTGGGCTCAGGACAAAAGCACAATAGGTGATTTATACATCAAAGACAATCATTATGAAGGGATTATGATGGGGATAAAATGCCTCGATCACATCCCTCTTTTAAAGCAATCCAAAGGAACCCATCATTCTATATTCCTGAGTTCCATGCTCATGATCCAGACATTAGATCCTGACCTGATTTGGAGGACATGACTGTACGATATTCATATTTTCAAACCTTCTGTAAACTACTCTATTCCAATCTATTTCTTCCTCTCCCTAATCCTGCTGCCTGTTTGAGACTTTCTTTTTAACAAGATCAATAATGCAATGGAACAAAGCAAGCTGGTCTTTTATAAAGTTGAACACAACCATCTGCCAAGAATTCCCTTCCAGTTCTCGTTAGAGCTTTGAACATTTCCCTTACCTGACAGTGTCTGAGGGCCAGATCTTGCAGGTCACAACATGATCTAAAGAGGGACTGGATAGCCAAGGTACCGATCTTTGTCTTGGAGAAGTCCAACCTGACTGCATAGGGTATGTTGTTAGCAAGGATCTCAAACGCTTGGCTTGAGATACGGCTACAGCCCGATAGGATTAGTGTTTTCACTTTCTGTGGAAGAAATAAAAAGAAAATTATTTCAATTTACTGGGAATATCAATCAGACAATATTAATTTAATTTGAAATTTGAAATTTGGAAAATTCAGTGTTTTCAGTATAACGAATTCCAATCACAGCTGCATCACAATTAGAAATACGTGTTAAAAAAAGAACCCCTCCTTCGGCCCTCAAAACAGTGAACTTAATTACCATGGTTCACAGAAATTCCTATAATGTTTTTGAAATTACCATAAATGATGCTAACACTCTCCCTAAAGTATGACAATACTCTGTAAGAGGGAAGTACTCCAGGAAGAAGATAAAGAAATCAACTACCAGTTATTCCCCTGTACAATATGTACCTTGCATTTGTCAGCAATCATGCAAATGACTTCATCCGTGATGAGACGAGGACAGTCACTGAAGTCCAGATGCTGAAGTAGACCACCATTGATGAGTAAATGGAGGGAGGAACGGGTGAGTTTCCGCTGACGGATCAATTCATCAGCCAAGTCTTGAACCAGAATAGGACCTTGAAACAAAATATGGAATAAAGCTTTGAAGTATACAGTAGGAGGAATACAAAAGTTTGTGATGATATCATGAACCTTAAAATGATACACAAGTCAATTGTATTTTGCTAATGTTTTCATTGAATTATATAGTTTATTTGCAGTATGAAACTATTTCCATTTTTCTAAAGACATTTGTGGCATTGCTAATATTTCTTAACACAAACTTTTCAAGATGAGAGAGTGTAAAATAATTGCTCCAAGAGAAGCAGAATCTTTTCTGACTGATTTTTCATCATTCATTTGTAGACCACTGATATTGCTTCTTTAGCAAGCTCACAGAAACTTCCAATAACCAAGGCAAAAGTAATCATAATAGATCTATATATGATTTAAATGTAGAAAATACATTCATACTGGAGAATCACTAATGTAGGGGCAACTAGCATCTTTACAATGCTATCTCTTTGATCTCAGTGATACTGATACTTCATGTCTCAAAGCATCATTTTTCTAATATCATAATATCACATTTATCTGCCGAGAGCGTGAAAGGCATTAACTATGAATGGAGTTGTCCTCTTGTGGCTCTCGGCAGACAAATATGAAAACTTTTTTTTTTTTTTTGGGGGGGGGAGGTTTTTGAAAGTTTATGTACTCACTGGGTATTTCATCAAAGGGGCCTAAGAGATGACGGAACCTGCCCTTGTCAAGGAGCGTCTCTTCATAATTTTGGGTCCAAAAGCTGAGGTTGTTTGCGATACTGCTGATACAGAGGTGCTGAAGGGTTACGGTGGCCTTACACTGAGGCATGATGAAGCCTTTAGAAACCTGATTGCAGAGGTGTGTAGCTCACGGATGAATAGATGATGTAGGCCGCTGACGAGCTGAACAGGGGGAAATAAGGTATGCATTTGACATGGCACACCACATGTAAAATACAGAGTTTGATTTTATTACCCTAGCAATTAAAGCTACATTGATAATTTGCTCAAGTATTCAAATTTCAAGGAATTTATTCTTACTAGGTATCAATTTACCAGTAGGGGCGCTGGTCCGAGAACGAGGATCGTCCGCATAACGCGCATCATCGTTTTTGGCATCGCCAAGGCACGGATCAGATCAGAATCGTCAGCGAAAATGCGGATGATCCTTATTCTTGGACCAGCACCCCTACAAGATCAAGATTGGCAAATGCAGACTAGTCTAATATTTTCATTATTATTTAGATCTATTGCATGAATTGCAAATAATATTAATCTGATCTAGACCTCTAGATCTAGACCTATACTATAGATCTAGATGTGGTTTAACAAAAAAAGACCGACCAGATTCTCTATACAATTCGCTATGATCAAATGGTTACTCAAGTACGACAAACCCAATTCTAAACCTTAGCTCCACCACGTATAGATCTAAGTTAGACAATAAACCACCCGGCCGCCCGCGCGCCCCCGACCCAGCCCGGACCAGGCCAATGCAGCTCCAGTGGCGACCCCTGGCCTGCGCCTGGGCCCGAGCACCCATCCAACTTCACGGCCCTAGTCTAGATAAACATTTCACCCGTCTGTGAAATTTAGTTAATAATAATAAATAATAATAATACATAACATTTATTAGGCGCTTAATACTGATGTTTCTAAGCGCACAGTGTTCTGATTAAGAGAAGACTATAATCCGTAGAATTAAATTAGAAGAAAAAGCAAAAATACAAAAGTAACATAGATAAGGTAAGAAAAACAGTGGCAATCAACTAAATAAAGACAAATATGGTGCGCACCTCCATTGACCGACGCACAACTGCAATTTACAATTTGAAAAGATAGGTTTTGAGTAGAGATTTGAATTGAGATACAGAGGGGGCGCAGTGAATAAAGGCGGGCAGTTTGTTCCAGAGAGCGGGGGCAATAACTGAAAAGGCGCGGTCACCATACCGGGTGTTAGTGCGGGGTCCAGGTGTTAACAGTAATGTGGAAGATGAACGAAGTGTTCGTGACGACGTACGGGAACGTAAGGATATGAGATCGGAAAGGTAAGAGGGGGCTAAGCCATTGATAGCTTTGTAGCACAGGAGAAGAATTTTGAAGGATATGCGGTGGTGAATTTTAAGCCAATGTAGTGAGTTCAATATTGGAGTTATGTGCTCTGATTTACGCGAGAGAGTCACAAGCCGAGCAGCGCTATTCTGTACCCTTTGAAGTGGGACTAGATGTGACTGAGGGAGGCCAGAAAGAGAAGAATTACAGTAATCGATATGGGTCGAGACAAAAGCATGGACTAATTTTGAAGTTGTGGGTCGGTCAAGTAGCCTCCTGATTCTACTGATCTTATATATACCAAAGGAAGCAGACTTACAAATATTACTAATGTGTTGTTTGAAAGTAAGATTGCTGTCAATATTTAAACCAAGGTCACGCACAGAAGCACAACAACTGAGAGAGCCATCACTCATAACAAGATCAGGAAAGGGGTCTGAGTTCCGAAATTTAGAAGTAATATGAATCATTTCAGATTTTGAATCATTAAGGCAGAGACAGTTTTGAAAAGACCAGGTTTTGATTTCATTGAGGCAACTGGTGAGTTTGTTCGCGGCTACTGTCCTGCTGTTTGGGTGAAGAGTTACATAAATCTGGGTGTCGTCTGCATACATAGTGTGTTGAATATTCTGATGAAGGTTAATAACATTTGAGAGAGGGCTGGTGTAAAGAATGAACAGGAGGGGGCCGACCACGGAACCCTGAGGAACGCCGCAGATGAGGGGAAATGATTCCGAGTTGGTGTCATTGATGATCACCTTCTGAGTTCGGTGCATGAGATAGGAGCGAATCCACTGAAGTACGGTGCCGGTGATGGAGAAGTCGTTCTCTAAGCGATGGAGTAACAGGTCGTGGTTGATAGTGTCGAATGCGGCAGTGTAATCAAGCAAGATGAGGACAGCTTCATTACCCTTATCTACAGCTAGAAGTAGGTCATTTAGGACCTTGACAGTTGCAGTCTCAGTAGAATGATGATTCCGATAGGCAGATTGGTGGATTGGAAACAAACCGAGATTGTCAATGTGGGCTTTCAGCTGTAGTGACACAATACGTTCCAAAACCTTCCCAAGGAATGGCAGGTTTGCGATGGGCCTGTAGTTCTTAAGTCCATTCGTGTCGAGACTCGGCTTCTTTAGGAGGGGAAGAAGCAGAGAAGTCTTAAAAGACTCTGGAACTATTCCGGATGATAACGAGAGATTGAACAGTTTGGTTATGTGAGGAAGGAGTTCATCGAGGACTTCCTTTAGAAGCCAGGTAGGAATCGGATCTAGCTTACAGTGTTTAGAAGGAAGTGAAGTGATGAGCTTCCTGACTTGTGAGAGGGATACAAGGCAGAAATCAGAGAGTTCATGACGAGGGCCTGGAGCAAAAGATCTTGAAGCTGGTGCTGGTACTACATTAGGGAAAGAGGATACAACTTTGGCGACTTTTTCCCTGAAGAATGTAGCAAATCTGTTGGCGAGTTCACTATCAGAAGAATGATCTGGAAGAGGTGAGGATTGAGTGGGCGTTGAGAGTGTCTTCACAAGACGAAACAGTTCTTTAGTGTCAGCATTCTTGATGAGATCTTTGAGGTACGCTGACTTCGCATTGAAGATGCACTCATAATATGACTCGCATTCACGGCGGTACAGCTCTCTATCAACAAAAAGTCCAGACTTGATCGAACGACGTTCCGCACGACGCCTTCGCCTCTTAGCTTCCTGGATATCATCGGTAAACCATGGCGCATCAGGTCTGATTGATACAGTCTTGACCTGGATTGGAGCGTGCTCATCAATCAACGTCCGCAAAGATGAGTTGTAATGCTCCGCGGAAGCAGATGGACAAGATAGATCAGGAAGTGAATGGAACATTGTGTCAATAGAGTTGCGTAGAGAGTCCTTGTCAATGCTGCGATATTTCCTGAAGGAAACCTCTTTCTTGGGATTCTTCGGCCTTGCGATATTGACAGTGGTGACAAGTGCACAATGGTCGGAAGGCATGGAAGATAGCGAGTTCACGTTGCAGACATCATCCGAATTCCTTGTGAAAATCAAATCTAGAGTGTGACCTGCGCGATGGGTTGGTTCACGAACATGTTGCTTGAACCCTAACGAATCAACACATGTCATAACAGATTTTGCAAAATTATCATTGGGATCATCAACATGTATGTTGAAATCACCCAATAATAGAGGAAAATGATCATCTACAACAGCACCTTCAAGGAGAGTTGGAAATTCATCCAAGAATGTGCCGTTGGAGAGATTATTATTGGCAGACGGGGGTGGTCGATAAATACAGTACAACCTTACAGCAGATGAAGGTGTCAGATTGAGTGTGACATCAAGTAATTCAAAAGATGCAAAATCATTGTTGTTGTTCAAGGTACAGCGAGCCGTGGATCTATAGAGAAGCAAAATCCTACCGCCCTTGGAAGATAACCGGGGTCGATGGGTGAAATCATAATTAGGCAAACCAGATCTTAGATCAGCTAATATGAGACCATCCCTCTTACTGTCTCCAGAGAGCCACGACTCGGTGATGACTAGAACATCTAGATCATGTTCAACAATCAAATCAGTAATTGCGTGTGTTTTATTGGTCATGGAACGTGCATTCCAAAGGCCAAGTTTGAGGCTATTGGTTGATACCGACATTGGTGGAGGGAAATCCGGCCTTGGTATCGTACGCCGCCCACGTCCGCGATGAGTTCGACGTCGGCGACCGATGCCAAGATCGCAGATCCTGCTCCAAACATTCATGGGTAGTAAATTAAGCGGCTGGTTATTAATCTGATGGAGATCATTCAAGTTGTATGAAATATGTAAAGCTGTACAATCAGCTGAATAAGGAGGTGAGTTGGTATGGCCAATATTGGAAACATTCTCAGTGCGATTCACTGGACCAGGATTGGGCTGGATATCTCCAGAATTAAGGAGACATCGAAATGTAGCTGTCGAATTACAGTAGTATAGTATAGATCTAGGTTGACTACAATATTTGAGATGTTTACAGTGGAGGCTCTTCATGTGTGAGCCAGTACGAGTGAAACATTTGGTTGGTTATACTTACGTTTTAATTGTAAGCCCAGTCCCCGCCACAGAAAGTAGCAAATAAACTAGAAACGAACGCGTTTCACAAGTGAATTTGTACAACAAATGATTTAGGTCATTGCAAGAGTGTTGCGCAATGCAGTGCTGTGGTATGGGGATTTTCGAGTCTCTGTTTACAATACGATCAGCTGGTCAGCGCCATGTTGTTTACATTTTTTATTTTCTCCTTTCAGTATCAACATATCCTTCCGCAGCATTTCTATATTTGTGTATGTAGCAAAGCAGGCACAAATTTGAAATTATTATATATATGTTGGATTATCACAGATAAAAATCTATGTAATTTATATCTAAACTTAATTAAAATACACGATAATGACTGAACTATATTTTTTAGGATGATGTACATTACTTTTCTCCATATGTGACGTACTAGTATCGTGGATGTGTTCACGACACGCATTATGCATGGCTTGCACACGAATCCCCCATACACACAATACACCAGTTTACAGTTGTGTGCGCCATTTTAAACAAGGCCAATGACCTAGAGGTCATGTGTTTATGCGTAAATTAAGATTGCGCCCATGCAAATTATGATGATATCACTGCCTGCGCGCTGCGTTGTGCGCGCATATCATCATTTGCATGGGCGCAATCTTAATTTACGCATAAATACCTGGTCAAACGTTATTGGCCCCGCTTCCGGGGCCATTGACCCCGCTTCCGGGGCCAGTGACCCGAGATCAACTGTCTGCGCATGCGCACTGATACAACTGTAAACTGGTGTATAACACGATTAGGTCAACGCGCGGGTTCAAGAACAGGATTGGCACAACAAAATAGAGCTGAGCTGGAAAAAGTGAGTGAGCTGAGAGTCTGAGACTGCCAGTGAGTCTACATTAGAAAAGCTATTTTGATTTCTTGTTGGTGACATTACATCAAGATAAACAGGTAATAAAAAATGTATTTTAGTCCAGGTTGACAAAAAGTCATAAACAATAAGTAAATGTAAGTGCTGCGTGCTGCATGCTGCCTGCTAAAAATTAAAAAAAATAAAACTGGAGAAGTTGAGTTTGCAAGCATGGCAAGTGTGACAACAACTTAAACAAGAAGTTGAAGAAGGAAGAGCTGAAAATAAAATTAGAAAAGTGATTCTGAAAAGGTGTAGATGAAACAGGAAAATGTTTGTGTTAAATTCAGTAAATAAAAAAATCTGGGGCTCAACAATATAAGGTCAAAATATTATTGAAGAAGAGTTTTCAGGCTGTACTGTACACCCCTGTTGTTGGCGTTACTTTGGAAGCTAGTCAGAAATAACCGTCTGGTATGGTTAGTTCTTTAATAAAACTGACATTTGCCAACAATAGAGGCGGTCAGCAGTAGGGACGCTGCATGGTTCGAGAATGAGGATCGTCGGCATAAATATCCTTGTAAACTTGGACAAATTGTGTCCTATGAAATTAGGATCGTCCGCATTTTCGCAGACGTTTTATTTCATCGGCGCTCTGCAGGTTTCAGGTTCCTGAACCGCGTGCTGGCGATGCGAAAAAAAGATTCCGCGTAAGAAAACCCCCAGTTTCCCGTCTACTTTTATGGGTTGTCCTTCTCCCCAAGGATTTATCCCTCGTAACGTGAATTTCGTGAAAGTCTCTGTACAAAGTCAATGTAAAATGCATCAAGAAAATCCCACATCGCCAACGCGCGGATCAGAAATACGAAACCTCTGCAAAAATGCAGACGATCCTTATTTTTGAGAATGCGTCTGTCAGCGTTTATGAAGACATTCCTCGTTTACGCAGACGATCCTTATTCTCGGAGTAGCATCCCTACAGGTCACTCAGCGGAGCCAGATGTAATCTCAGCGGAACAACCGTTGATATTCAGAGACTGAAGCTTTTAGTCTATTGGGAAGCTAGCCTTAACAGCTACAGGATAGGGTGCACACATGCGCAGTGTGAGGCTGAAAGTGAAGTAACGTCTAAAGAGCATATTTACAGTAAAACAAAAGTGAGGTGCAGGTAAAACCATGGCTGCTTAGTTTACGAGGAAGTTTATGAGGAAACAGGATGCGGAAACCAGCAGGAGGCTACAAACTTCTGATAGTGATACTGGTAGTACTAGAATGGCAGCCTCCTGGAGTGGAATATCCACAATATTGTGGTAGAGTGTGCAAGAGTGCAGCGGATCTAAATTTATTTTTACCACAAGCTGCGAAGGAGAAGTGCTCTTCTGCTTCCTGTAGGCGAGATGTATGAAACAAGCAGCATCCTTCTGTACGGAGTCGGGCTAACTCGGACTAACTCGGACCCGGGGACAACTCGGGCCCCGCTGCAAAAATGGTCATTTTTTTGCAGGTTTAGGGTTAGTGTAGGATTACTAGGGTTAGAGTTACATAAAATGACGAAAAAATGACTGATTTTGCAGCGGGCCGAGTTGTTCCCGGGCCGAGTTAGCCCGGATCCTTCTGTATGCTTTCTAGATTTTCAATACAGGTGGTTTTGTGAGAGTTCCAGACCCATATTCCATCTGGTGGCACAAGGGCTTGGTAGGCTCTGATTTTATATTTCCTTTGCTGCAGGGTGATAAAGTTTCCCTAAGAAGGCCCAAGAAGACTTCCTTTTGCAACAGCAACTTATAACTTTTTAATACTTATCTACCTTAGGAATTAAGCCAGTATGTCTGTACATCTAGCAGTAGTACCAGATTCCCAGAACAAAGCCAAGGATGATAACCCTTATGAAGATTACATGTGGATGGGAGAGGAAGAGCTAGAGTTTGAACAAGATGTAAGTATATATATCATGCCCACTTTCTTGAAAAAGGTTCATTATTTTATTACGATTGAAGTAACTGGTTTTAAACATCTCTTTAAGGGTCTGGTGACATCAAAATATAAGTTGATATGCTGGGCTGCATACAACACATATTTTGTTATTCAAACATCTAAATATATTGCATAGGTTTTTAGATATTGTTTTAAATAATTTTCTCAGACCTGATAAGCTCCAATCTAAAAAAAATGCTCCAGATCTCATTCATCTTGTAACACCGTATGTCAATTATTAGTGAGCTAACAAGAGGCAGTGGTATGTAACTTCCCCCAGCTCAGCCCATGCTCACAAAAGAATTGCATTCTTTCATACAATACCTCCACATTACTTTTCTTTTCCTGGTGATGCTACAGCACGTCTGACATAGCAACTCCTATGTTGGTATTGTATGGTCTATTGTAAATAGGTGGTCAGCTCTGGTTGAGCTACATAACACTGTCTCTTGTTAGCTCACTAATGATTGACAGATGATGTCCCAAGATGAATGAGATCTGGAGCATTTTTTTTAGGGTGGAGCTTAGTGGCCCGAATTCACAAAGGAGGTTTGTTGACAAACCGAGGTTTATGTACGACATATGACCCGTTTTGACGCCTTTTTTACAAACCTGGTTTGTACGATAACATAAGGAGGTTTGTCGACAAACCAAGGTTTGTCCACAGACCTCCGTTGTGAATTCGGGCCAGTAGGTGTGGACAAATTATTTTGAAAATATTTGAAAATCTATGAAAGATATTTAGATGTTTGAATAACAAATGTGAGTTATATGTAGCCCTGCACATCAACAGGAATGAACTTATATTTGGATGTCAACCGACCTTTAAAGCTATTTCATTGCCTTTACTTGACAAGGTTCCCTACTCCACCAGCCCAAAATTTTGTCAGCAAAACTAATCATTAGGAAAAGTCTCAAATTGATATGACAGTGAAAGAAAATAAAAAGAAAGGAAGCAATGAATAATAGTAGTAAAAATAACGGTGACTTTATTTCTCATTTCTGTAATGTTTGGACATGTTACCACTCCTTGGTGCATTGAAAAATATATTTAAATGATCCCAATTCATGACAGCAAAGCAAATTTTCTCTATCTGATAAATGTTGGACATTAAATGACTGAATTGAATTGACTGTTTTTTTGTAGGTTTTAGCTCAGCTGGAGGAAGAGGAGTTTTTGGAGTATTGTTTCCAAGATATGATGGAAGAAGAAGCTTTAGGTCTGTTCATTCCACCACCCATACCTTCCTCCTTGTCATCGTCATCATCATCTAGCAGTACAACAACCACTCTGCCATCACTCCAGAACCTCACTATCAGTAATGCTAGTAAGTTCCACTATCATGAAGAAAAACACTTGATACAGTGAAACCTGTCTAAAAAGACCACCCAAGGGAGACAAAAAAGTGGTCTTTATAGGCAGGTGGTCTTTATGTACAGGTTCCTTTAGTACATGTTTCACTGAGAAACCATTTTCAAAGGAAACAAAAAATGTGGCCTTTGTAGACGGGTGGTCTTTCTAGATACAGGTGGTCACTAAAGGGGGTTAGCTGTATTAACAAACCAGTTCTTGTAAGTACATTAACAGGGGCTCAACAAGGTCTGTATTGAAATTTGTAGGTCCCCCTAGTAAACTTTCAAAACTTCAGAGATCCTAAATTTGTATTTGGGGGCCAATATGTACAGGATGCTTGCTGTGTTGAGCTTTGTATGATACGTTTGATTAAGGTCTCAAAGTGATTGAGGAAAGGTGAGAAAGAAAATGAGCCACAGCATTTACATTCTGATGAGACCGGATTTTGAAATCTGCCATTATAGGATAAGATATGAAATTTCAAAAATATAAATTCTTAATGATTGAGGTATTTGAAAATGATACAATGTTGTGAGCCTTCTAGTGAGAGAGAAGAGAGAAGGGCTGATCGGCTGGGAGAATCATAGTGATGTCATACCAAGAGCATGGTTGGCTATCACACTGACCCCCTTCCCCCCCCCCCCCCCCTCCCCCTTCCCCTTATACACAGGTACAGAATTTTTTTGTTTTTTTTTGTTTTTTGTTTTTTGTTTTAGTTTTTGATTTATGGTGCTATGCCTGGCAATGTCTCTCAGCTCTGTAATCAGTGTGTTGACTCACCACTCGGAGACTACAACAACACTAAAATGTGTCTGTCATCTTGGTTTGAAAATAATCTTTCTAATAGATCTCAATATGTAGTTTATAATAATAATTCCTCAATTTTTGTCTCGCCTGCAAAAAGCGAGACATAGGCGCCGTCAACATCAGTTTTTGAATTTTTGATATAATTTTTAAAGTATAGGTTCTTAGTCAATGAAAATTTGACTATAGGGTAATCAAGTATCCCCAATCATGTGAGTAGAATTTCAGATCACAAAGTCAAGGTCAAAGGTCATTTCAGGTCAAAAGACTTGGACTATGTTGTAGCATCATCATCGAAAACTTAACCTAAGGTTAAGTTTTTGAATTTTTGATATACTTTTGAAAGTATAAGTTCTTAGTCAATGAAACTAGGACTATAGGGTTATCAAGTCTCCCCAATCATGTGAGTAGAATTTCAGGTCACTAAGTAAAGGTCAAATGTCATTTAAGGTCAACAAACTTAGACTTTGTTGTGGCATCAACATCAAGATTTTCAAAATGTTTCTTCTTGGTTATTTTTCAACCGATTTTGATTCTGATTGTTTCATATGATAGGGTTAGGAGGGGGATTTAAAACTTCTACACAGAATCGTGAAATTCATTATCTATGCTAATTTATGCAAATTTATTCGAAATCACAAAAAATGCTTCTTCTCCTTCATTTCTCGACCGATTTTGATTTGGTTTGCTTTATCTGGTAGAGCTAAATTTGGAACACTAAACTTTTAGATTTTGAGATTTTGCTCCATTGATTATTTATGGTACTTTATGCAAATGAAATGAAATTATGTCCCTTCCAGGGCATCAAATTTTTATTTTTTGACCAGTTCAAAAGTGTACCTCATAAAATTTACAATATTTGTTGTTACGAGATGCGGATGAGCGCTACGTCATTGACGTTCTGGTTTATCATATTGAATTGCGTTATTCAGGCGAGACCGCCGAGAGCGTTTCCCTTGTTTATATATAACAAATGGTGTACCACAAGGTTCTATCCTAGGACCTAGGTACTCTAATTGTTTTTAATTTACATTAATGATCTTACACATTCTTCTAAAAACGACATTGTTACTATTATTTGTGACAAGTTTATAGGCACAAATCAGCGCCTTTAACTGCACCTCAATGTTAAATGAAGGTCCTCCCCCGCGTGGGTTTTCGGCAACAAAACAAAACAGAAAAAAACTTGTTTTTTTCCCCTCCCCAAAATAGGGGTGCGCCTTATACACGGAGATTTACCTTTTATTTATGTTTAAAACCATTGTTTATCAATTCCCCCTACATTTCTAACCCGTGTAGTTAATAACTTGTTGCCTCCATGCTCTGCTTCCTCTATAACAGACGGTGATGAGAATGGTCACCATGGTAATGGTGATGTGATCCTGCTGCCTGCTAGTGATGTTGGAGCCTCAGGAGATGCTAACTATGAGGCGGCATGGCAAAGTTCTGAAGATGAGGTCTCTGGAGACAAACATGATGTAAGGATGAAAATCAGTCAACAAAGAATATACCGGTACTGTCTGGAGCCAGAAGGGCGATAACTCACATACTTTAATGCCGGACTGCACTACGTGTAGCTACTTGCCCCCTCTATACATACATGCCAACTGTTCAGATTAAAGAGGAACATTCCTCTTTTTGGGAGAAAATAATTATCATTTTAATGCAGGTGTTCCTCTTCCTGTACAAATTTGTCTGTAGTATTGAATAGGAGAGTTAGGATTGTTCCTCTTTTTTTTGAAAATAGCCTAATTTGTACAGATTTCTGATTTTCAAATGTTGGCATGTATGCTCTATATAGCAAACAATGCCTAAACAGCATTCATTAGTCTCCCATGATCCCCTTTTTCTTATGTTAATTGAGAGCTGATTTGATGTGATAACCACCTGTCAGTGACCCTGCAGGGAGGTCTAATTCCTCCTGGCCAAACTAGTGCAGATAGGTTTTAACACAGAGTGAATGCTCTTATGATTCTGAACATGCATTACATATGTCTTCCTTTCCTCTTTTATTTATTGTTCAGTGATCTATTTTGATGAAGTACTCTGTTAATGTGCGTGTAGTGTCTTTCATTTGAAAATCAGGAAAAAAATAAGTCGAATTTGATATTGCATGCAGTAATTAACAACCTCAAATTCACATAACAAAAGGGTGTAACTTTACTAATAATTGGTATTTATCTTCTCAATTTTTTTTTCTCTTTAAAATATTATTTTGCTACTACTTTATCTTCTCTTGTATGGCATTAATCTGGAACGACCAGGTCCCTTGGAAGGGATTTTAAGCTGTAGATCCTCTGGTCGGTTATTCTCCCGTATGTACTTGATTTCTCTGCAGGCAGGTGAAATAAAATCATCAAAATGATTCAAGATAGAGCCAAAATGTAAGATCTCTGATAAGATAGTTTTATATAAATGTATCTCCCAGTTTTGCTAAAAACATTTTCTGTAATTTTTCAAAAGGATATACACAATTTGCATTCACAGAATACTTGGTTAATTTGTTATTGATGTACTTTTAAGAGCCATATATCTCTGTATGATAAACCACATGCAAAGACAACACATTTTAATTTTCCTCTTGACATATTTTTTAATTTTTTTTTTAGAACCTAACGGATTCGGATTCATCAGAGGGCTGCCCCCAGAGATAAGCAAGGGCCAAGAAACACCAACTCCTAACCGAGACCACGTGCATTCCTGTCATTCACAAAAAAAACAAAGACATGTTGGTAACCAAATATATGTGTATAAAGTATGAATGTTTATCTTTCGTTTAAAACCTCTGTTGGAGCTGTGATATATTATTATTATTCCATGTTTAAACTTGACTGATACATGTACACACATATGCATTGCGTGGTATTATTACCTTACCCTAACTGTGAGACCAAATTTGGGCACTGGCATGGGCCAGTTTTGTATTCATTGTAATAAGAATGAGACAAAACAGTATTTTTTTTAAAAGAGTACTGATTTTGTATTTGATTATATATTATATATTTTAAAGATACTTTTCATACCAATGCATTTGTGATGTACATTATTGTTTGAAGCAACATTTTAGAGTTGACTTTAAACATGAACGAGGCTACAGAGTTGACAACTTTTTCAAAATAAGTATTTCCATCACCATTCTAAGACCGTTCATAAGATATGAATTTCATCCTTCGTGACCAACGTTACACCACATTACTTTCAAAAAGCCATCAGACCCTGAAAGTATCATTCAGCGTCGTCATACGTAAATCCTTAGCAATATTTAATGAATCATATGATTACCCTGAAACACAGTTTTACCGGTCTGCCAAGTGCAACGCTGCTTGGGTTTTATGGTGTACGTCTCTCACGGACATGTCTTAAAAGGGAAATCCAATCTTAATAGCAAAAAACTCTAAAAGTAAGCAGAAGGATCAGAGAAACATACTGGTAAAAGTTTGAACAAAATCTGACATAAACTAAGGAAATCGCGAATTTGTTTGAAGTTTGTAATCACTATAAATATGGGAACTTTAAATTGGCTGAATCAATGATTTCACTGTGATGTGGTGCCAGACAACTTTCCTATTTTTTCAAACACCCATGACTAAAATTGATTTTTCTTATTTTTTTCTTCAATATGTATGACTCGAGATTGTCTTTACTTTTACCCTATAATAATATACTCTCCATCATACATTTTGAGTAGGCAGTTGGGAAAATTTTGTATTCTGCAAATGTGAAAATTATCCTTTACTAAGTCATATCCACTGACAAAATTGCCAATTCGAGATACGCATAGCTCTAGTGACATAATATTTCAAACATTCACAACTTTCATATTATTGGTCCGATTTATTTCAAACCTTTGCCATGCCATTTCTCTGATTGATCTGCTTTCATTCAAATGAACTTATTACATGGTTTGGATTGTCCTTTAAGTACGTGATTCAGCATAAGCCAGACACAGACCCAGACTTAACTTGAATTTGACATTGATTCACCTTGAAAAATGTTCGAAATTGTAAAATGAAATGGCTTTTACTTTGAAAAATAATGTTTTTCCATTAAATGTGTGCTATAACATATAGACTGAAGTACTTTATTTCCTCCTCCACTGCTGCATGTTAAGGGAATCATCATAGACTTTTTTTCAACTCTTCTCAGTATTGTGAACATGTATGAAATGAACATGTGCCATATCAATCAACTACCCATGTGCCATATAGCACTCTTCATGAAATTAAAGTCAACTCTGAGTCTGATAAATATGTTTTGACCAAAATTACAAAGTTTCTTTTTGCCATGATGCTTTCAGTCAAAACATATTGGATTGTGTGTACAGTGTACAGTATGAAGTGTAAATATTGGTCTTTTCCAGTGTCAAAAGGCAAAAAGAATGAGATATAATTTATTTTTACTGTATATTTTATGTTTGGTAGGTTTATGTTTTGCTGAAATTTTGAACACTTCCGAGTCGAGCCACTTCCTTAGCTCCAAAGCTGTGTTCTCATGTATTGGTAAACTGTCTGTCAAAAGGATTTTAGAATCAAATACTGCTTTAATACTCTGTGCCCTCTGTGTTACAATATATATATCTTTTTGTGTCACACGCTGCACTTAAAAGATTTTAATCTGCCGTTATTTCCTTTCCGGGCACTTTACCGTAGCATGTATAAATGAGGCTTGCTAAACACAAACATCATTGAAGAAGGATTGTATGTGTTCCTGACAATGTCTTAGTGTGCTTCTAGTATCTAAAACAAATACTGGATTTTTTTTTTATCTCCTATAGTTCTTCTAAACCTTGATGAAGTTAGCTTTAGTTTACTTTGTCCTGATAAGGTGTTCTTCAATGAAATACAAGTAAATAAATAACACAAACTGAGCGAGGTCATGCTGCTGCGATTAGTGGCTTAAATGCTAGTTCACTCAAATGGCTTGTTTATTGCACCCATTGTGCTGAGGATCTCATCCCTGTTGCCACTGTGCTGTCCTTCATAATGCATAACACATACTATCAAAGGTCAAACTGGGTTTACATAGTATCTTGAGTTCTGGAAATGATTAAAAATATAAATTCATGGCATTCTCAGTTGTTGATCTAATAGCTTTGCATAAAAACAAAAGAAAACCCAAACAGATTCCAAAACTTATGCACATATGAGATGAGATTTCATCTCATTGTGTCAAGATTGTGTCAAGACTTCCAACAGAGCCAATTTTTCCTCTGCCCATTCATATCAACTATCATGCATGAGATAGGTCTTGACTTTCTATAAATGACCTAAGAATTCCATATTTTGTCATGACCAGAGCTCCAGAATACTCTGACCTCTAGCATATTACCATCTTGGTTGCTGTACTGTACTACGGTACTCACCAATAAGTTGGGATGCCTAAAATGATAGTGCTAATTAGTACTACACCGGGTTTGAGATTGATCTCTCTTTGTTGGAAAGGAAATCTGCTCCCTTTCTGTCATAAGGAGAGTTATCACTGGTTAGTATATGCTTCAGGAGGATACTTCAGTTTAAATCAGTCTTTTTCTTTCCTTGTGTATGATTTGCAATTTTGCATGCATATACAATGTACCCTTGAGCCCTTATTGTACTAAAACTTCAACTCAACGCTGTGTTAAAGCTTTTGTCCGAAATCCGAAATCAGGTTTAACAAAGGAAGCTAGTCAAGAATTTGTTTCTTTTTTTAACATGATTTTAAACACAGGGTCATGTTAAAAATGTCTGAGCCAAACAGTTTGAAGGAGGGGATTGTTCATTTAATGAATGTTTTCGATCCATCACTATGAAGGTGGGCAAGAGTAAACAATGTTTGAGACGTTAAACTCTACTAGTATTCTAGGCATAATTAATCACAAAAAGTGTGTATTCATGATTCATTATCCTTTTTTCTAATTCAGATTTTGTTGAGATGCAATTTACGTCATTTACGACCTTAAAAATTCAGTATTGGATGAGAAAAAAAGACCAAACTACTAATACTAAGATAAGCATAAAGTTTTATTAGCAATCTACTAGAAAGTATTGTGATATTGCCAAGCACTTGTAGAACTATTGTGAAATTTTAGATGTGTTACCCTGTCATTTAATAATTTTCCTCCTATGTAAAGAATTATAGAAGTAGAACTTTCTCTTAATATTTTTCTCACCACTTTGAATCAGTATGTGCACATAAAGAGACAATGACTCGAAGTAACTAAAAAATAATAATGAAAAAAAAATTATAATACATAACATCAGGAAAAAAAAAAGATATAAACTTTATAGGGAGGAAATGAATGACAGTAATGTTACATTGTATGGTTCTTGTATATTTCAAATGTAGGTGGCCTCCCCCCTCCATTTGATGAATGCGTAGTTGCTATTGTTTGAAGGGACAACATATTGTCAGCATTCAGCTGTGAATAGAATATACATTTACCCATATGTGTATATTCATGTAGGGTTTCAACTCAGTTTTCATGCTGAATCTATACAATTTGTAAGTTAATTAGGCTAGGTAGCAAGCTCAAAAATCAGGTTTATTTGCTTATTTCTCGACTAAAAATCATATTGCCAACCTGTTTGATTAAACAAGCAGTTCATGTTTTGAAGCTTGGGCAATAGTGATACACACTGCACTTGTTTAAAGGTAATACAAAGTTTTGGTATGGGGTCATGAATTTGGTTCAAATGAACATATTGGAAGCATATGCGATACTACAATACTCAGTGATCGTTGTCGCGGTTGAAATCGAGTCTAAAGTTATGAAGTTGTTGTTAATAAACTCTTTATGTTGTATAGCTCCCTCTCAAGGTCAAGATATTAATTAAGCTATTAAACAATGTTTCTTGACTAAAATTAACCAATTAGCTATTCCCGTTTGGAAATTATATACTACAACTATATATTCTGAGATTTTCATGGTCCAGGCTACCATTGTAAGGCCGTAGGCGCTTTTTGAAATTTATCGAAATTTACCGGGAGCACCGGTAAATTGTTATATTAAATTTTTCTCGAAAGCAGAAGTGTTTTAGGGGCTAAATTTTCTAGTGGTTATAATTCATCCACTGGGGCATCCAAATATATCAAAATTGTAAAGAATCACTATCCACCCAAATTTCAAAATTTCCCAAAACTTTGTATTACCTTTTAAGTCACAATGAACCAGATAATGAACAAGACTTGTCTTATTCATTATCCCATTGTGACTTAACCTGCTTGCAGTGCATATTCACTATGCACTCTCAAACATGAATTATTTGTATATTATTGGTTTATCTCCATGCAATATGGATTACCTAGTGATGTTAATTAATTAATGTTAATCAAAGCAGACTTGACATTGTTTTTGTATCTGTATGATTTGTATTTTTTAATGAAAATCATATACATGTATGCTTCATTCCTGGTGCAAATACATATAGACTTAAACCTTTATGTAAAAATACTTCAAAGAAAACACAATGCTTGGTCTTGATGGACAGGTGATCAATAAAGAAGGTTTGAATGTATGTACCATTACAATGGTTGGATTACAGTAAACCTGATCTTGATCAAAGCATGCATTATGAAATAATGTGAATGTTTCTTGAGCTCTTTCCTCACTGACCCAGAGTAAAGAATTTGAGATGTGTCAGATCGTAAGAAAAATGTATGCAACCTAGTTTTTATGCTCAAATTTGTCTGTCTGGAGCCAGATTGAAAGCTAATGTGGTTTGATTAGCAATGGCGCTCGTAAAATGGCGACTAGCTGGAATGCTCCCCAGGGAGTGGAGAATGTGCATACCTTGTGTGCGGGTAAGCCTGAATCCGATGACCAGGGTAATAATATGTTCCGCGCATAGAAACATAGTATTAGGCGCATTATAAATGTGAGCTATTATTATTTTATTATTATTGTAAAAAAATATGAGTGAATGCTCTTGTAACTAGCTCTGAACAGACGATATTGTTATTAGAAGAATATGACTTTCTCTATTTTGATTTAAGTTTTAAATAAATCACATCTTGAAACACCCCCCCCCCCCCTAAGAATAATGGGAAATTAATTCCATTTTTTTCTGCAATACTGTGTATGCAACATTCAGCTTGTTTTCTATTACTTAATGCATGTTTCAGTATTGTTTTTCAATCAAAGTAGATAGAGTTTATTCAGATTTATTCAACATGTGCCATCTTTATAACATTTTGTTGATTTCAGCAAAGCTGAACAAATAACGATCTCATTCTACAAAGCACTTTTAATGAACTTTTATTTCTCGTCCGTTGCTTTATATTTTAGTTCTATGTAGCATCTTTCTTAATTTGTTTTATTATGTTAAACATGCTCCAACATTCGCACTTTGTATGGTGCGTAAGTGTGGACAGATTCCTGTGATATTTCATTTTTTTATGTTGCATTTCAAAGAGTGTAATAAAATCACTTATTTTGAAAGGACCAACAAGTGTGTGAAGTGTTTTTGTGTGTTCTATTAATTGTAAGCGTGCAGTATCATATTGAATTCCTTTCAGATAAGGGTCTGTACAGATAATATGAATGTAAACGATTTGACATTGACATTTATGTATCACATTAATGTTCGTTCTATTCACTCAAGGCCTATTTACACATCTCAAACCCCATTTTTATTTATACACTCATGATGTGGATTTTTAGATTTCAATTTTTCTTTGTGTTTGCCAGTAGTTGCATATTCTGAAACACCGGAATGTGAGAAAAATCACAATTTTGGGGTTGCAGTGTAAATGCAGCTTTTAACTGAACCTTGGACATAGTACAGAACAGTGATTTGTAGGCAAAACGATTGGCCATCTTTTCTTTTTTATTGGGGGGGGGGGACACTTCTTGAGTAACTTCAAACATCAAGTTGCATGCTGGAAAGTGACCTAAAAGAGTTGAAAAATCTAATGCTGATTCATTTAATTGCAATTGCCTAATAATAATGGGTTCTTGTATAGCGCTCATACCAGTCAGATTTGACTCTCCTGGCGCTCCCGATTATATTATATATATTATTACCCCGGCTATCATACTCGTTCACGCACACAATATGTGCACCATTTCCACTCCCTGGGGAGTGTTCATTCCTTACGGTCACAGAGAGGGCATTATGATGATAAATACATAGATGCACGGGAAATTGTTTTTGTGGCATATAAAGATTGTAATTATTTTTCAAAATGAAATGCCAAAAGTCAAGTGGGATCTTTTGATTATTCCTAGCCTAGTGAAGTCGTATTTGTTTTTAAAGTTTGTATCTCTAAAATATTACAATCTTTCTGATCACTTCTCACACACAAGCAATAACATCAATCACAGCAAGCGATAAAGATTGGCAAATAAAGCACATTTAATGCCTTATAGATTTAAATATACATATACAATTACATTATATATCTAACAGATCTTGATGAAATTGCAGTATTGCTTTGTTAATATAATATACTTTAGCTTGAATGAAAATAATGGTTCTTTAAAAAGCAATGTATATGGAAATGCATAAGTCAAAGGGTACAAATCACAACAAAATTGATACTTTGTCCTGTAGGCTACAGGTTCCATATCACTATGTTAAATTCACAACGTGGGCTATTGATATCACCTCCATTTTAGTTGTATTTAAAGTTTAAACACATTCTTAATAAAATTATACAAAAATAACATTTTAGCAGGCTAGTCTACTCAATGATATTACAATTGAATCTAAAATAAGTCTCTCAATAATGATATTTTAATGAAGATTCTAATATACAAAAATTTAGTAGATTTAAGGGGTAAAACAGGTTTATTTTTTCCTTATTTTTTATAGGAGGAAAGTACGGACCACAAACACATAAACAAAACTATAAGCATAACAAGGCATTTTTTAATAAAAATCCCATATGAAAAATTTGAATATCTTAAAAATTAATCTGCCATCCATCTTCGTGTTTAATAAAGGGTGATGGTTACTGGTTAATAGTGTCCAACTCATAGTTCACTAACAAATCCCTATTCTTGTAGATTAACATTAAAAACCTTGAATGAAAAATACAGAATTCCATATTAAGGATAACAGTGTATAAGAAGAAAAACCAGATGTGTCCAGCCAGAGAAAGATACCCATGAAGGTACATGTACATGTAATTGGCCTCTTATAGCTTTCAAAATGGATTTAAAAGAAAAAATATTATTGATTCAGACTTAGATGTACCAAGAAAAAAAATATTCATCTTTATTCATAATCTGGACTTACATGTACACTATATGATATCTTTAAAAGACAAAACAATTGATTTCTGTTTAGTCTATACATCAATGCTTACAGATATATGAAGCCTTACAACAAAATATACTAGAATTGCAAGTAGCAATGTAGCCTTGTAGGCCATAGAAAATGTGCACGATTAAGAACTCCTACAGTATAGTGTATCTATGCATGTGAGTGCTTTGGTGCGTTTGTATTTAGAAATAATTCCAATCATAAAGTATATTACAGTTTTAATACATGAATAGTAAATATGCTTTTGCTATGGATAAACTTTTACTTAAATAAACCAAGTAATACAATATTTCTTAGAAAATAATTGGGTGAAATATGGTGCATGTGCCATGATAACTCCATGTTAGATATTTTGAGAACTATAACACAAATACAGAACTGAAACACAAATACAATGGATAGATTAAAGATTTTCTTCACAACCTCATCTTCAACTTCATTCACTTTCCCTATAAATACAGGGAAGATTTCAGCAAATAATTTTTTCCAAAGTTTCATTTCCATCTATATACTTCATAAGGATGATGGCACTTCATTCACACTCAACAGACTAAATGACAACCCCCCCCTCCCCCTCCCCCCCCCCCCCCCCCCTCAAAAAAAAAAAAATTGCCAAGTTTCCTGGATATCCATTAGTTTGAAGTCAGTCTGACAGTGTGACTAGAGTATAGAAGTACCAGAGTGTGATGTCATTCTGGCCAAGTTGTTAAGGTTGCTGGTTCCAAACAATTTGTGTGCTAAACAATGGTGTGATGATCACACCACCTCCAAACACTGAATTTGCCCTGCTCCAGTCCCTTGCTTGAATGATTTCTTGGTGAACCTCATGCTTAGGCTCTGTTGTTAAGAACCAGTAACCTGGGCGACAAGCGCATATGACATTAGTACTTCGATACTCTATTAGACTGTGTTAGTCGTGAACCTAAACCACAAGACTGCTGATGATAATAGGTCCGTTATGTGATTTTCTTCTTCCTCCTTCCTAGCATAAAATCAATAAGACGTGCTGTATTTACATTCGAGGAAATTATAAATAATTTACATAATCATCAAATCTTTACAACTTTACAAACACGTACTGTACACAAAAATGTTTATATACATATTATATCGCTATGAACAACTCCAGCAAGCTAGTTCCTTATTTTGTACATCATTCAATATTCCTATCTTTGTAACGGATGACAACGCTATTGATAACAGGTGTCTCTGTAAAACAAATTACATCATCGTCATATGACAATCATTTGCAATGTAATTAAAACAATAATCTGGTAGAGCAGTGGTCCCGAGTTCGAGACTAATTCAATGCACTAGTGCCCTTTGGTAAGGCAATAATCCTCATTACCAAGTCCCTCGGAGAGGACTTAAAGCCGTCATCCCCCTGATTGCTCACTTACAAGCATACACATGCTTTCTTAGCAGTCAGGTAAAACAAACCAACCAACCAATACACATACATTATGTAGAAATCCATTACAGATATTATTTATCATGTCAATCAGATTCATGTACTGCAGATGATGTGCACCATCTCCACTTGTTAGGAATATTGCTCCTTCCTAATCCTACCATACGATCACCTTCAGGGTATACAGAAAATTCATTCCCAAACTGCTTTTAGCACTGTACCAGATTCCCCATTGCTTTTTTAAAAACAAAGTGGTAAATGATTTCTGAGTTTAACAGTTTTAATAATATGTAGGCCTGTAATAAAAAATTGAACACATCAAATTCTTTGTTCAATTTCGATTTAGCCACCGATTTCTGGGTTACCAGTACTAAATGAATATGCCTCGAGTAAGAACTTAACACATTGAACCATCAAAGTACGATACTGTAGCTATGTGATAGTCTTCTACAGCAACCTCTGTCTTGCATGATATGCGAATAGTATAGAGTTTCAAGTAATAATATGTAAATGACAAATAACCCTTGTTATGGTTACACATCACTAGTAACTGGCATAAACATATATACATGATTGAACATGTATAACATTTGCTTGAGCATGTCAGGAAGTGGCCAGAGTCCCGCAGCAGCACTAATGTCCGTTGGCAAGATATTGATCAGCATTTGCCACACTCAACCCAGGTGAAGAATTAATTCCTTGAAATGCTAGAGCATCTTAACGGCAGCCATGCGAAAGCTGGGGTAATAATTGTGGAGATCCAGGAGTGTAAAATCTGACAGACATGAGCGCTATACATGAACCCAATTACCTCTTACATGTACCAAGTGAATGTAATAGTCATAACTACGGAAACATGTATATATTTAAGTGATTATGATATGAAATGTCATGCTTTCATTTTACACAGCAAGCAATTTACTATGTCGTTGACTGATTGGAGCACTTGTAAGATGCTGCGTAGTACCTGGCTCCGCATTCTTCAGTTTGACATCACTCCAGAATTTTGGTATCACTGCTGTTACGATTCCACATTACCACTCTAACTCCTAGAAGGTGTGGCTGGAACACATGTAACAATCACCCCATCCTACTTATCCAATGTGGAATCTAGGATGAGTAATGCATCACTCCTCTCTGTGTTATCTCGTTAGGAAGAGTTTACATGGCATGATCCCGCTGAGAGCTTGGAGGATCGAGGAAGTAGTGTTTTATTGATTGAGGCTACCGGCTTTCCTCAGGGAAGTCCTGGACCTTGCGATGAACCTGGCGTAGATACTGCTGTTGTTTGTAGAATACTTTCAGGGCACCCTTGATAGCGACGAATGCTATTCCACCCTGTGAATCACAAGCAAGAAAAAGATACAAGAATCGTATGTAACATTATCAAGACACATTCCTGAACATGAAAAATATCTTTGTAAGAAACAAAACATGTTTGCATCAATACTCCAGAAGTGTTTCTTTATTTAATTTTTTAAATGTATATCCTAACAATGATCTTGAATTTTCAATGGCAAAACAGAAATATCAGTGAAATACACTTTCAGCAAGTGTTTAATAGCCCAATGTGTATCCCAACATGCAATACATGGACAAGGAAACTTTGTTCCATTCCTTTGTGCTAATAATTGTATTATTTTTTTCTCTTTTTGTATTGATTGATTATATCGGTAATAACATGACATCTTTCAACAAGCTTTCTTTTTCTTTTCCATTAACATTAATTAACAATTTCATTCTAGAAATAGACCATTTCGTAGTTAGCACATGGGTCAAATGACCTCAAATATCCACAGATCTTTTACTCATGGAGAAGTCCCACTTTGTGTATTTTAGAATAATCAATGCAGAAGTCATGTATGTGCTTCATGAAAAGCTTTTGTTTGCCCTCTTGTATCATAGAATGTACCGTAGGTGCACACATTAATAATGATTACATAAAATGAGCACGTATTAATCTTGGTGGGTTTTACAATTTTATCACAAATGACCTTTATCTGCCCATGCACAGATAGTATTTACGCAATGGCTTATTGGTTTCCTCCACGAGAATACAAAATACTCACCAATATTGTTCTTTGTAAATTTGATGTTAAAGAGCTAAACATGAGCTTCCCACACATAGTAGCAATAGTTGGAAAGATGAGCGCTCCGCAGAGGACTCTAGTAGCTGAGATGGGATCAGAGATCGACTGAGGCTCCGTCGGGATCCTGGGGACGATTGGCGTCTTAACGCTCTCCTCTGGGAACAGGTAATTCCAGAATGGTAGCTTGGGAGAATGCTTACGCCAAAGCCGCAGAACGTAGTCCTCCCATCGGACCATCTTGCCGAGGATGAGCATGACAGGGATTGTGGGAAGGCCTATGAGTAGGAAGAGAGGGTCAGCTCGTTCCATCACGTCTAGACCCTCTTTGTGTCCAAGCACTTGCATGACGGTCACAGCGCCGTAGGTAACAGCTGTCCAGTACACTGATCCAACAACGATACCTCCCGCTGCGAAGGGGCAAACCTTGTAGATAAACCTGTCCACGAGGTCCAAGATGTATACTATAGGACCTGGAAAATAATAATATTTACAACATTCAAGATCTCCATTTAAAAATGTTTCATTTGGCAAAAATACTTTCATATTGACTACGGTAGACTTTGTTTGTAGACTCCACCTCATCATCATCAACGGAATATCTAAAATGATACAAAGGTAGACAAGTAATCCCACCTTGTAATCCCACCTTTTTCTTAACAACCAGCAAAAAGACAACTCAAATTTGGTTCATGAGTAAATATAATTAAACAATATCAATTGATTTTGCAATCTGTATTACACTTTGTATCTAAATATTATATAGAGCAAGTGTATCCAATATCCACCCTGTATGTATGGCTTCATGCATTTTTTTATTCACATCATAAGTGGAATTCAATTCAATATTGATTCATTGAATAATCAATAGAATTCTTTTCATTGGGTCTGGGTCAGATGGAAATAAATGTCATCATTGTCACTCTTTTAAAAAATGGATTTGTTTTTTTGTATTCCACGACATAGAGCACTTTGCTATCAACTATCATCCAGTGTCTATCTTTTTCTTTTCCACTAGAGGAAACAAATAAATGATCACTCACCAAGTTCAGGGTATGTGATAGAATACTCTGCATTGCACTGAGGGCACATGACCTTAGCCATGCTGTTACCCCGCGCTGCTTCTCATCAATCCAGCGCTGCAAACACATCTGATGGACCCATTTAGTAGTCCCCTTGCAGCGGCACGGCCTGACCCACTCCGCTGATCGGTCGTCTTCAATCGTAGCAAAGCAAACCCAACAGGTTCTTCTACAAACAATGTTAACAGTCATTAGAAAACGCAGTAACGGCTTGTTCACATATAGCCAGTTTACAGCAAGGTCTTTTTAAAGCATACTATACTTCAGATCGTTGTATCGTACAACATAAAGATATCACTCTATTGACTCTAAAAGAGTTGTATGACAACTCTGGTGTGAAATTACTTTTGTCATCTCCTCTTACCAACCAATAAGTACAATGTCACATGTACTAATGTGCCTTTACAGAAATCTAAGGATACAAGCACTTCACTGGCCTTTCCTTCTTGAGCTAAAAGCAGTTCTTGAATGCCCATTTATTATGGTAGAAAATATGGAGAGTTGGGTTCCAATGTTTATAATGGCCAAACTGTTCTTTAGAAGTATATCATCATTGTAATTATAAACGGGCTGTACACTAAGAGAACAAAATGTGAGGTGATAAATGTAACTTTAAATGGAGAGGCATTATCAACCCATATGACCGAGGGAGACAATTTCATGGATTTCGTTAAATCTTTTAAAATAGTTGATACAGGTCTACATGTATACCTCCTCTCATCTATTCAGAAGTTCAATCAATCATATCAAAGACGGTATACAAACTACAGTGGTATTAGGCTCTTGAATGGGGAAATCTAGCTAAAAATTGTATTCTGGACAACCAGATTATCCCTTAAATGAACATTCCTCTTAAAAACAATTGTTCTAGCCTCCACTTAATTCGTCAATACTTAGTTTAAATGTTCAGTACTTCAGTAAGTCCCTAATGCATCTTTGTCGTTGTGATGTTTGAGCTTTTAAAGTCCATCCAACATACACACTTTCATACATTTCATTTCAGTTCCTATAAGTAAGGATAATTTGATAAGTTAAATGGTCGGAAATTTGAACCCGTCATCGTAACTCTAATTGGAGTTTCCTTTCTAGCCCGCTATGTCCGCATCATCTGTGCTAACTTTGGATTCTGATCAACACATTACAACTTTCTACCGGACACTGCATTCATAACTCTATAATCAAGAATAGAATGCTTCTAATTATCAACTTGTCCCTGGTCAAATGTTAAATGGAAATAAAAAATGAATACAAATATAGAAGATTAAAGATAGCACAGCTTTCTTTCACACTGACCTGTCATCAACACTGTTGGGTCTTGATAGAGGCTTTGTAGCACACTCTTCCATGGTTGTTGTGTAACTAGTCATTACCTGTGCTTTTCATAAACAAATCTGAAACAAAATAAAAAAAGGAAAATACAAAATTATTGCGGATTATCAAAATCAGAAGGCGAGATCATTTTTTTTGCAGCTTGGCTTCTTCCTCTCATTTTCCTTTTTTTTAAATTATTATTTATTTTTCATCCTCTTGCCCTTTTCAATAGTCCTACTAGTCCTACTATACCTACCTTATGTCCATTCTTCTTCAGCTTTCCCCATTAAATCTTTGTCTTTCTTCTGTTTAAACACTAGTTTCAATCATCATTTTCCCTATCCCTTTATCATACTTGTCTATATTCATTTAAGTTTCATTTTTATCCTTCCCATCTCATTTCACCTTCTCCATTTTGCTCACTTTGTTCTCCTTCCTCAATCTATATTTTCTTCATCTCTAGATATACATGTATATATATTGTTAGGCTTAGGGTACGTTTATGCTCAGTTTTGAAGGCAGAATGAGCGATTTGAAATGCTCATCGTAAACGCTCATCATAATCGCAGTTCCACGGTGTACTGTTTATGCTCACTTCTCTGGCTCCTCCAGAGAAGTGCAGAGTCTGCAGCTTGATTCGCACACCTGCACTGCGCATGCTACGTTGACCCCAATTAAACGCATTTACAAATGATTGTGCGTTTATGCTTCCCTGGAATCGCCTATCGTAAACGCACCTTTTTGTGAGTTTACGATTGGGGATTACGATCGCCGTTTTTCGGTGATTCTACAAAAATGAGAGAAGACGCAACCAGGTTTTGAACTAAACGCGTAACAGATGCCTCATTCTGGCCTGAAAAAGTTGCGCATAAACGTACCCTTACACAGCTAGTGTACTTAAAAATCATTGTTTCATAAAACCATTAAAATGGCATTATACAGGATTCTAGGACTCTATGAGTAACGATACGTCCACAAGTTTACCCACATTCCCAATGACAGGCATGTTATGCCACTCAGGCAAAGCATAGAGAGTCAACGCTAATGCGTATTGACCTTTAGCACTGCATGCTTGCTGTGAGGAAGGTATTATTAGACCTATACACAAATATGCACACCACACAATATTGCATAGACTGCACATAATCATGCAGATGCAGCCGTAAGCAAAGTTTGACAGTAGACTTACAATTTGAATTTTTAAATTATTCTTTTTAATATCAGTAAGTTGATAAAACTGTATTTTACTGCTATTTAGGTGTCATCGATTGTCCCTAAAGTACCGATATCGAGTGAAATCAGTTGAGTTTTGTACAGTGCTGTTTGAAATGTTGAGAATCAAAAGCACAGCTTTTAGTACTACACAGCCAGGATAGTGATGCTCCTATGTGTGTGTTATGCATTTCATTTCATGCCCACAGACTGTAGTTGTATTTTAGTTTACAATGATTTCATAAAATGCTGCAAACTTGTCAAGAAATATTTCCTCCTTTTCCACTTCTCCCTTCTCTGCTGGAGTGCTGGCTACACGTACCTCTGGTCAATTTCTTCTGCCTCATCATAGTACTCATCATCTCTCTCTCATAAAATCAAGTTACTTTTAGTTTTAATGTACTTAAAGGTAAAGACCAGTATTGGAAACGCCCCAATTTCAAAAAATGAAATGGAAGCTCTCATTACCAATCATGTGAAAGAATATGTTTTGACTAATACATGATGATAAAAAATTTGCCGGGAAACCGCCTACTAATTCATATATTTGGTAAATTTGTTTCTCTCATGGTCTGTGAGGGATATAGGGTAGTCCCATATACATCTTTCTGTGTATAGTGCTTGTAACTTTACGAAGAATGGGCCAAATTTCTTATCATTTTGATGATTCCAGAACCTTGCAGATGCTAGATGCTAGATAATCAACCTTTTCTGATCGATTCCACAACATTTCTATCACAATGCAATCGCATGACCATAACTGGTCTTTACCTTTAAAGGTAAAGACCAGTATTGCAAACGCCCCAATTTCAAAAAATGAAATGGAAGCTCTTATTACCAATCATGTGCAAGAGTATGTTTTGACTACCGGTAATAGTAATACATGATGATAAAAAATTTGCCGGGAAACCGCCTACTAATTGATATATTTGGTAAATTAGTTTACCGTATCTATTGGTGTGTGAGAGATAAACGCACTTGTCGCGCACGTATGCATAGTCCCATATAATCTTTCTGTGAACAGTGCTTGTAACTTTATGACGAATGGGCCAAATTTCTTATCATTTTGATGATTCCAGAACCTTGCAGTAGACCTACACACAAATACTTATATGCTAGATGATCAACCTTTTCTGATCGATTCCACAACGTTTCTTTCACAATGCAATCGCATGACCAGAACTGGTCTTTACCTTTAATTGCCTCACTTGGAATTCTGCAGAGCTCGACTATGTTTGATTTCCTTGACCATATTATTAAACTGCCAAAGACTTTAAATCACATCAACATCTCTCACTGCAGTCTCGGGCTCGGCCTCTCGACTCTTTATAGACCCTAGGCCTAGATATCTATATTATTCCTCTCTTCACCTAAATAAATAACGTCTCTGAATAATATGTGACTGGTTCGTATTCACAATCACATGCACAAAACAAACACAGCATTTAAAATGTCACAGTACCCATCACTTATCAATTCACCAGTCATGTAAAGTCATAATCATCATAGATAGGTCTAACACTAGACTCAAACTCACTAGACCTAGGTAATACCAACACTCACTCTGTACACAACTCAGTACACATCATTCACATGTATTGACATTGTGATTTGTATGTCTGTAACTGTAAGCTAAGTGTAACAATCAAGTTAGCAATAACACTCACAGTGTACCCACCCTTACATCTACTAAGAATAGTAAGATTATGTAGAGGGAGTATTCTCAGCATTCATAGCATACTCTCGTAGTCGTAGTCGTAGCCGTATTACATGTAGATAGATCAGCCGGTAGTGAACAGCGTATGTACGCGAAGCTGGTATTAAACTCGCTAGCATGCAAAGTCCCGTCCTTCACACTTGTGCTTGTACTTTGCCCTAGCCCTAAGTCATATCATGCGAAAGTAACACGGCAACCATTATGTACAGCGCAGCAGCACCGTACATTTCACAGATCTAGATCTAGCTAAATTTAGATTCGCCCAATTACCATTCAGTTGTAAAATGAATCGACCACGTATGGGGCTATTTGAAGGTAGAGGTGGAACGAATACGGCCGAATACAAGCGCCATTTCTTCCTTAGAACCTTTTAGGGCCTACTGAACGATTAGGGTAGGAGCCCCCGGCAAAAAAATCCAATATGTGGTGGGCGGGGGCGTCGTCCCAGAGCCCCCCCCCCCCCGCCTGAATAACAAAATAGACCTAGGGTCTAAGCTAAGGTGAAATATAACATTGATTTGTTGTTGTAGAAATGCAGACACTTTTTTTTTTTTTTTTTTTTTTTGAGTCCCAAAAAAATCTTAACGACTCAGCCAGCCGCTGAATAAAGGGGGGGGGGGGGGGGGGGGGGAGAAGAGGACACTTTTTTTTTTTTTGGTCTCGGAATTTGAAAAGTTACCTTTTTTAGGTCAGCCATTGGTAGACTATACTTTTTTTTTTCTTTTTTTTTTTTTTAATTAAAAAAAAAAAAAAAAAAAAAATCAAAAGGGGGGGGGGGGTTTCACAAAAACATATACAAAACATACACATAAAAAAAAAAAAATCGAGGGAGGGATTAACTCGAGGGGGGGGGGGTTGATGTGGAAGTATCTGTATTTGTCCCCAATTGAGTCTTGAAGAGATCATATAATTTGACGACACGGGCGACTACAAGTTGTACAACATCAAGGCATCAAGACACTTTCCTATGGATGCCATATGCAGTTCCTCTCTTTTCACGGGTAGACTCTGACTTTCTAACATGTAAGTGTGTAAGTGTCCCAAACAGGGGCGTATCCAAAGGGGGTATATCTAAAGGGGGTGTGGGGGTTGCAGTGGCGGATCCAGGGAAGGCCAGGCCCGCCCCCCCCCCTCGAGGAAAAAAAAAAAGTAAAAACACGTGATTTTTACCTTTTTTGGGGGGCCCTTGCGCTCAAGGGGGGGGGGGGGTGCAAATTTTTTAATTTTCGAGGACCCCCCCCAAACCGAAAAAAAATGCGCTCACTTCGGCCCCGGGTTTATAGGGTTAAATTTGTAGATATTGGGACATTTAATTTTGTCGGTAATTGCTGGCTAGTTTTGTCGGTAATCGTTGGCCTCTACACCCCCCCCCCCCCCCCCCAACTGAAAAAGGTCTAGCGACGCCCCTGGTCGGAATAAATCCATGCGTGTTACCAAAATGTCCGGTAAAGGGGTACTTTTCGTGCGACAAAGTCCGGCCCGAGAATTGTAAAAAAAAAGGGGTGTATTAACTTTTCATCCGGAGATTTCTTTAAAAAAGTGGTGTTTTTTTTTTTTTCTCTCTCTCGTCTCTTTGGACTCCTGAGAAATTATTCCGAAGTTAGGGGGGTACATTGAGCATTTTTCATGATTTAGGGGGGTCTCCAAGGCAGGAAAAGCCCGCAAAAAGCCCGCGAAAGGGGGTTCGGAAATGTTGGCAGTCCTCAGATAGGGGGTGCTTTCAAAAAGAGGGAACGAGCATAATGCGTACCCTAAATAACACTGAGTGGGGGGCCGGGGACCGGGCCTTTAGATGCTCAAAGTGGAACTTCTCCATGTGTAAAAGATCTGTGGATATTTGGGGTCATTTGTACCATGTGCTATCTGTAAACTCGATCCCTTATGATAATAAGCAACCAAAATTGCTGACGACTTCCTAACGATCAAGACAGTTCAATTAGATCAAGTTCAAATTGATTGATCATGCACAATTACATGGCATACACATCATTTCCCAGCTGTATCTTCAATTTATATAACATAGCATGTAGACCTACTATCAATTTATACAAAATACAAAATCAGGAATAAATACAACACACACTAGAACATCACAGATAGTTTTCGTTCCAAACTAATGCCTATAACATGCGGTGTTCCTCAGGGAAGCATTTTAGGCCCAATTCTATTTTCAAGTTATATAAATGATATGTGTATTAATTTGTATAAATGACTTCAAACCAGGCGCGTACGCAGGGGGGTGTTTGGGGGGTTAAACCCCCCCCCCCCCTTTGGTATTTTTATGTGTGTAAACCCCCCTAAAAAAATCTAAAACCCCCCCCCCTTTGGTTTTTTTTTTTTTTTTTTTAATTATTAAAAAAAAAAAATTACCCCCATGGCTGACCTAAGAAAGGTGACCTTACCCCCCCCCCCCCCCCCCAGCGAAGTAAAATGTCAAATTTTCAAATTTCGAGACAAAAAAAAAAAAAAAGTGTCCTCTTACCCCCCCCCCCCCCCCCCCCCCCCCCCCCCCCCCCCCCCCCCCCCCCCCCCCCCATCATACTAGGTCGAATCATTATATTCGATCCAACTTCGATCTTGTTACTGACGTACATGATTATAATACAAGAAATAGCCGATTCAACTTTAACTTACCAGAAAGAGGTAGTATTGGAAATTCGTTTTATTACAATGCCATAAAACATTGGAATTCCCTTCCCAATGGTGTAAAAGAAATAGGAAACTATGATCATTTTAAGAGGAAATTAAAGGAATACCTAATACTTGACAGTCAGAGAAGAGAAGTGAATGACATGTTATAATGATTGAAATTTTTATTCTTCTGTCGGTTCATACTTTTTCATGTTGTATATACTGTAGCGGACACGATTTCGCCACCTTGGCTTGACACGGAATATTTGTCAGGATGCCCCGTGTCGGCCAGGCGCTCTCCGTCCGTTTGGACAAAATATATGCCCGTAGCTTAATGGCTGGAGTTATTAACTGCTCACACGTATCTCAACAATCATTCGTCCATCGACTACAATCGGTCACCTAAACGTCTCGTTCACAGCATCAATCAATTGAGCATCCTTCGAACAATCAATTTCCCTTGTCAACACTTGTCACAGGTTCTCGTCCCTTGGTTTCACTGCTCCAAGAAATCAATCCAATCATGATGTGTAGGTTGAAAGTCTTTATTGCGATCCATTCAACAATTGGGTAAACTCAGTACAAGTACGGTGCAAACTATGTGAGACTTAGCTTAGAGACTTAGGCCAGGCCAACTATCAGGCCAACTATCAGGCCAACTATCAGGCCAGCCTCGGTGAGGCTGGCCTGTATCGGATACAGTGCAGTGGAAAGCCCTAGATGCACAACCTTGACCATCATAACAATTTCCCTGTACATAAACGTGTAAAAGAACAATTATGTCCTCGTTAGTAAAACAACACTTCAACACAATATTTCTGCTAATCCCATAAAATCTTCACATATAATCTTCAGTATAACCCCTTATTCCTGATTAGATCACTACTATACAAGTAATATCCCCAAAAGAAACATGATAATTGCACCAACATGATCAAAATATGTAATTTATGCTCATTTTCCTTCAGTTTGGTAATTGCTAAATCAACGATGCACCATATTGCTATAGCGCATGCTCGTACAACAGAAAATGCTTAACCTTCGTCCAATACTAAAACCCTGATTTGTTACAATACTTATGTTTTCGTACATTATAGAAATTCTACAAATTCATCATTATTTTCCTCTTCATCCTTCTCCTCTTTTTCTTCTTCTCCTTCTTCTTTTTCTTCTTGTACTTAATATCATTTCTATCATCAGTTTAATGTTGTTATTATTATTATTATCTTTAATAAGTAGTTCTTTTAATTTTCTTATCTGTCTGTAAATATTACTATTTTAACTTATTCATTTTATACATGTCTGTAAGGGACCCATGGAAATAAGCTCTCGAGCTTTCGTGGGTTATCCTGTTCAAGCTGACTTAGTTTTGATTTGTTATTATTGTATATTGTTGTATGTTGGAAGCTTGTCGAATAAAAATCAATCAATCAATCAATCGATCAACATGACTTACAACATGATATAGGCTTTGGTATCAGAAACATAATAACACAATTATTACTATTTAAGTGACAGTTACATTTTTGTCATCAAATCATACAAAATATAGAAAATATATATTATTCTTAAAATGCAAATTTACTATCTTGCTATAATCGAAGGATATTAGATGATGGTAGTTGCACAATATGAGGTGTACAGCTAGTTGCCCCCAAAAGGCCTATGAGGGGTCTCAGCTAGGAGGAGCATCTGCAGATCGGGTTGCATGTCATATATATATATATTATATATACTCCACCCGCTTCCTCAAAACATGTACCCTTAATATTGGCCTATACTATAGGCTATATGTATGTCAGAAATATCTCTGAGTCTGAGGTCAAGTCTCTCTCCCTACCCCCCCCCCCCCCCCCAATAAAAAGGGGGGGGGGTTGCGGCATTCGGCACCGTTTGCAGTAGGCGTAGCATTTTTATATAAAGGAAAACCAATTGGAGTACTCTTTTTTCTTTCTTCAATGGATCCGTCTATGGCACGTTTAGGGGAGAGAGGAGGGCTGGGCAAAGACGAATTCCCCAATACATTCCGAACCAAATTCAAGTTCTCGATCGTCTGTTATTCTTTCACACTGATTTCTCAGAAAGGGAGTGTGAGCCATCGAGTTCGTTGGTGTGAGCATAGGTGATTATGTGGTAAACACCTTGTATATCTAACTTCGCCCTAGAAAGACTCAGCTTAAGATCAAGAGGATTCGTACTTCTTATGTGCAAAACTTGAGATTAATTAACACAAACAGTGAAGCTACATATATAGACCCTATGCAATTAATCAATTTATAATATTAGGTTTAAACTAAAACTAAAGAATCAATAAAGAAACAAAGAATGTGGAGATGAGCTATAAATGAAGTTTGTAATAAAACAGGGGGGGGGGGGAGAGATAAATTGAAGCGTACATATACAGTCTGATTAGCGTACAGTCTGTGTGTAAATTTAAAAATATGGCGACTGTTCGGGACAGTGACACCAGTCTTTGGCTGCACAATAAACTCGGTGATAATGACGATCTTTGGTCTGGAATCACGAGTATAAGCACTCAACTTCATCAGGATGTTCTGAGGAATACACATGATTGCTTTCAAACCCTTAACCCAACTGTAAAACTCAAACTTTTGATGGCCATTCTTCACATGCCTCTGCGAAAAGTAGAAGAAGTGAGTATTGTGGTCCCATGTATTCACAAGATTGTGATGTTCAGATGTGTTGAATTGCATACAATTGAAATTGATGTGTTGTTGTTTGTTGATGTTGATCTCTCCTAACTGTTAACCGTTTACGGTTAGACTTCATGCATTGTTTCATAGGAGTGATATAATTGGAATAAATGACCGTAATAAGTCTTGTCATAAACCAATTCTGTTAATATAATTTATTATTTAGACTAGAGTCTAGACTCTAGATCTAGAATCTAGTCTAGACTTATTTTTGTAAACGTAATCCAAGCTAAATTTCAAGTATAAATTAAAAACCAAAGAAACAGCTGCTGAGTTTCCTTTGTGTGATCAGTTTTTTGCTAGGTGCTAGCAGTGTACATGTAGTCTAGCACTAGTTGGGAATCGTCTAGTTTCAGCTAATCAACTCAGCCAAACAAGATCGACTTTCAAACACATCAGACTTCTCTCAGTCAAACCGTGATCTATTTCTCTAATAATTTCTGCTTTTATTCAAATTAACTTGACGTCTCGGAGCTTGGGAACATGTCCATTTTGATTTAACTTATATGGTAGTCATATTTTGTTATGATCTTTTTTCCAGTGCAAAGAAGAGCTGAGTGGTATCCTCCATCAAGCCCTGGCAGATACAGATGAATGGGTTGTGACGGTAGCGGATATCCTGAGATCGTATCCCGACTCCGGGCAGCTCAATCTGGAGCTGGAGGAAAGTCATCCGTTCTTGGCAGAAGCTTTACATGAACTACGCAAAACCTGTGAGTTTCAGTCAAAGAGTGGCATGACATTATTGTGTTTGATTTCCTTTGTCAAGATCGTTTATAGGCAGTCGACTCAATGTAATTGGAATAGCACTAGTGTATGATTTTAATTTTTGTTTAATTGTTTTTGTTGCCGACTCCATAGGCAGCAAGCCAGGTCTGCGTTCAAAAACCCATGCGGGCAGGACCTTTATTTAACTGCGAGGTGCAGTTGAAGGTGCCGATTTGTGCTTGTAAACTTGTCACAAATAATAGTAACAATGTAGGTTTAAAAACTAATGCAGGGCTGTCGTTTAAAGCCGGTAACCGGTAAAACTTGCCGCCTATTCACTCGTTTCTTACCGGCTATAATTCCTATAATAAACCTTGCAAAAATCACAGAAAGTAGATCTAAATCAATGCTAATCAAAAATTTCCTTAATTTCGTCCAAGATATAATTAGTGCCGCACATACACGGCCGCAGTCGACGAAATCCCTTACGATCACGAACGCGACGTCGTCCGTACTTACCTAGACCTATCAATCTAACGTTACATCGCAGTTCTCCCCCCACAGCGCGGCAGCCAAGCCCACCCGTCCCTACCCCATTGCGATCCCGATGTGCACGCGAGAATACACACTGATCATAACAAAACTGAAGCTAGCTCGCTGTAACCAAACTATCCGTTGCCGATTTGATATTTGAAGATCACGGAAACCGGGGCCTATACACGTGCGTGCAATGTCTAGAGACAACGTACTTTAGATTCTGAGATGCGCAAATCGGCAACAGAGTTTTGAACTCGGCTGAGTTTAGGCCGGCCACGGCCGTCCCCGGCGGACCCCCGCAGCTAGCTCGCATGATATATGCAGGCTCGCGCTCCGCGAATATTCAAAACTAACTTCCGATCGCAGTTGAATAAAGTGTCTTCACTTTGTCAGGAAAACAGTGATATAACATTATAAAATGAACAGGAACTGAAGTAAATTCTTAAATGTATTCAATAATTTCATGTAAATTTTTTTTAATTAAATGAGAATTCATATGGGGAGCCAAATAAAAGTCACAAGTAAAAAAAAAATCAAAATCTAGCCTCTGCTGCCCATTATTTAAATACTGTACATGTATTCAACAAATCATGATGTAGAAAGATTGAGTATGGTGCATCATCTCAGTTTAATTAAAAATGACAAAGTAATGGTACAAAGTGATAAATAATTATCAACTTAATAACTTTTCTTATGAGTTATGATTGTTCATGTAATATTAAACATGAACAATATGTGTGTTTATTACAATATATGTGTAATACAAGGTAGGAAAGATAACTACAAATTTTCTTCTTAGGTATGCACCAGATTGCACGATTTCAAGTGGAAAATCCCAAAAGGTCCCTACCGTGGGAGGGGGGACACCCCCCTCCCACACCCTCCACCCTCCACCCCTCGGTCGCTTCGCTCCCTCGCAGTGATGGTACCTCCTATAAAATTCAAATTACCTCCTTCAAAAATAATTAACAAGACCCCTGCTAATGATGATGGATTATTCTTTAAGTCCAAACAGAAATCTGGCCATACAGGTAGTGTTGTTCTAGCTTCCGAGTGGTGAGTCAACACACCTCTATGACTGAGCTGGGAGACATTGCCAGCCAATCCAGGCACAGTGCAGGTGGAGGGGTATAAGACGCACCCCCGACTTTTGATTTTATTTGCGTCTTATACCCAGAGATTTACGGTACTTTCTCTTTTGGAGCACATATAACCAACTGTGATTTATCATGCTCTTTGTTAATGTTTGACTTACTTTACAGTGGCTACGACAGACACTAACTCGTTATTACCCATGGAATGTATGTATCTCAACAAGAATGCCCTCAATCAACTGGTTGGAATGCAGGCTCCGCCCGTCAAACATTTCACACTCAAGAGAAAACCAAAGTCTGCTGCTCTCAGAGCTGAACTGCTACAGAAATGTAAGAAAGTTTAACTTTGAATTAGGAGAAGTGTTCAATTTGCCTTTTTCTTTTTTCTTTTTTTTTTTGGGGGGGGGGGGGGGGGGGGGGAGGGCGTATTTCTGTGTGTGCTAAGGAATGCCATAAAGATTCTCATTGAATTAAGATTTACTCTACACCATTATACACATGCTTTGTCCACTTATGAATGGGTAAGTATAGAAAAGAAGAGCATGTATTTGCATGTTTTGAGCTATGTGTGTCTTGAAAATATATTAGAATGTGTAGGAAATAAATTTGTTTTCAGTAATATTAAAGCTTGTACATTTTTTTATTTTGTTAATTATTTCATATATTGATGTAGTAAATATCATAATATCTGCTAGGCTTCTGAGAAGAAGCAGAGCAGTAACTCTTAAAATCACCTTCAAGTTAACTTAACACAGCCTCCTAATTTCTTGCTCTCATATGATATATATGAATATGATAATAAGGGATTTGTTAGCAAGTATCCTATTGGCTGAAAAGATGTCACGTGCCACTCAATATTTTGTTATTTGTTTATGAGCATGCAATAAAATAACCTTTTTTGCATGGTAAAATTCGTACAAAAACTTAATTAGACTGAGCGTATCCATTTTTTGCATTGTCTGAGCACCGCGCATCTGACCCAAATTAAGAACTACTGTTACTATAATATGAAATGCTTATTTGCTACAGTGTTGATCAAATGACATCTCTTTGTAACTTGTTTATTATATCATTTCGGATATCATTTAATTTCTTCCCCAGCACTAGAAGCTCAGCAGCAGCAGAAGAAACCTATGACACCCACACACAGCAGTAAGATTAGAGGAGGATTCAGGGGTATTGATGATAGTAAGTCATGCTTAGTTTTAAGATCATCTGTTAAAGAGCCAATAAGGGTTGTTAAATGTATTTCAGATGCTATTAGTTAATGATTTATTCAGGCTCTTTGCAGATATACAGTCAAAACTGTCTATCGCGACCGCCCAAGGGAGACGCAAAAAGTGGTCTTTTGTAGACATGTTCCTTTAGTACATGTTTCAATGAGAAACCAGTTTCAAGGGAAACAAAAAATGTGGTCTTTGTAGATAGGTGGTCACTATTGAAAGCAGGTTTGACTGTATAAGTTTGTCAGTATACATGACATTATTATATCTAGTCATATGGATATTAAAAGAAAGATTAACCAAATTATAAAGTGTATAAATTAGCCTTGTTCATATGTGATATTGCAAAGCAATACAAACCACCTCAAAATACCAATGTGGCTGAAATGACACAAATTTAGTGTTCTTATTGTGTATTCATTTTGTTGTGTTTTATATTGTACAGCATAATAAGTAATGATAAGTAAGCATAGTGGTCTATGTTACACGCAACAGTGCAGTTACTTTTTGACAGCCCTCTGCTATTCATTCATACATAAAATGGGTTCAATATAAATTGGATTTTACTTGAAAGTCTTTCTTATTCTACATTCTTCTCTATGTGTATCCTCTATCTAGTTCCTTTGAAGAGTACTCCTAAGGCCAGTCCAAGCTTCCGAGCCTCTCAGTCTCCAGCCTTCAATCGAAGCCTTCCGCTGAATAGACAACACGGCAGACTGTCCCTCAACAGAGAGGGAGGCACCAAGGTAAGTTATCTTTCAACCAGGCCTGATATTTACCTGATTTAAATTGGTTTCCCAATTTTTGTGATTATTTTTTTCCCAGATTTTTTCCCCAGATTTTTTCCCAGATTTTTTTTCCAGATTTTTTTTTGTTTGTCCAGATTTTACTCAGATTTTCCCTATTTTTCCCAATTTTTTCCCTATTTTTCCGTATTTTTCCCTATTTTTCTCAATTTTCTTACTCTAAAGCGGGGAAAGTTGTTAAAAAGAGCAGGGACCTACATTTTTGAATGGCAAAAGTTAATAATTCCATGGAGTTGTATGCAGTTTAGATAGTGATTGTCCATTACTTTTCATTTCAATAAGGGGGGGGGGGGGGGGTCTGCAGCCAATCATTTTTTCCATAAGTGGATATTCCTTTGTTCAACTTCTGGGCCCCATTTCACAAACTTGTCATCAGTGACAAATGACAGTTTCTATGATAAGCCATTGAAATCCTTGCTTCTGATTGGTTATTAGCAGATTTGTCACTGATTTTTGTCATTTGTCATTGAATAAAGGCTTTGTGAAACACCCCACATATATATTTATGGCATGGAGGTGCTCCAATGAATTATGAATAGAAAGTCAAGATTTTTTTTTTTTTTTAATAAATATTTTGTTTATAGGAGGTCTGCTACATATCTTACTAAACTTTTGATTTTGCTCCTTACCTCCCAGTGATAAACTGTGTCTTCCATAGTATATATGTCCATGAGTAATATAGACAGTTAAGTAGATAATATCATTTAATTATTTCTATATTCCTTCCTTTTACAGCTTCTGGATATCAAGGAGCAACCCATTGGTGGAAGCTCTCGAGAAGCAAAGAGGAGAAAGAAACAAGCAGGTTTGTTAAAAGGAAAAATGATAACTCAAAAATTGACAGCAGTTACTTCAAATATCTTGCATTCCTATAATTGTAGTTGTAACTGTTGTATTATTACAATATTTTGACTATTGTAAGTTACAGGGTAATGTTGTAATCATGATGATGAAAATGCTCATGGTAATGATTGTGATGATAGTGGAAATAATGAGGATGATGACAGAAATCACTAAGATAGTAACAAGAATGATGATGATAAAGATGATGATGATGATGATGATGATGATGATGATAAAGATGATGATGATGATGATGATGATGATGATGATGATGATGATGGTGGTGATGATGATGATGATGATGATGATAAAGATGATGATGATGATGATGATGATGATGATGATGATGATGATGGTGATGATGATGATGATGATGATGATGATAAAGATGATGATGATGATGCTGATGATAAAGATGATGATGATGATGATGATGATGATAAAGATGATGATGATGATGATGATGATGATGATGATGATAAAGATGATGATGATGGTATTGATGATGATGATGATAAAGATGATGATGATGATGATGATGATGATGATAAAGATGATGGTATTGATGATGATGATGATAAAGATGATGATGATGATGATGATGGTATTGATGATGATGATGATGATGATGATGATGGTATTGATGATGATGATAAAGATGATGATGATGATGATGATGGTATTGATGATGATGATGATAAAGATGATGATGATGATGATGGTATTGATGATGATGATGATAAAGATGATGATGATGATGATGATGATGGTATTGATGATGATGATAAAGATGATGATGATGATGATGATGATGATGATAAAGATGATGATGATGATGATGATGATGATGATGATGGTATTGATGATGATGATGATAAAGATGATGATGATGATGGTGATGATGATGATGATGATGATGGTATTGATGATGATGATGATAAAGATGATGATGATGATGATGATGATGATGATAAAGATGATGATGATGATGATGATGATGATGATGATGGTATTGATGATGATGATGATAAAGATGATGATGATGATGATGGTGATGATGATGATGATAAAGATGATGATGATGATGATGATGATGATGATGATGATGGTATTGATGATGATGATGATGATGATGATGATGATGGTATTGATGATGATGGTATTGATGATGATGATGATGATGATGATGATGATGATGGTATTGATGATGATGATGATGAAGATGATGATGATGATAATGATAATGATGGTATTGATGATGATAATGATGATAATTATGATGATGATGATGATGATGATGATGATGATGATGATAATGATAATGATAATGATGGTATTGATGATGATAATGATGATAATTATGATGATGATGATGATGATGATGACGAGGAAGAGGAAGAGGAGGAGGAGGTTGATGATGATGATAATGATGATGATGATGATAATGATGGTATTGAAGATGATAATGATGATAATTATGATGATGATGATGATGATGAGGAAGAGGAAGAGGAGGAGGAGGTTGATGATGATGATGATGATAATGGTATTGATGATGATGATGATAATAATGATGATGATGATGATGATGATGATGATGATGATGATGACGATGGTGACGAGGAAGAGGAAGAGGAGGAGGAGGTTGAAGATGATGATGATAATGATTTATTGATCTTGTATTGTTTTCATGAACAGAACAAGAAGCAGCTGAACAAGCAAAGAAGGAGAAGGAAGCTGCAATGCAACAGACTCCAGACTATGCTGTTGCTCTCATGTCACCTGCTGTCAATGTAAGATCATCATACTCTCTTAAAAACAATTCTTTAATGGTTAGGTCATGTTTAGGTCATTACTTAGATTAACAGTCATTTCTATTTAGTGAATTTTGGGTAATAGTTCTTTTTTTTTTAGTTCTATGTTTTGAGAAAATAAAGTATACTTTCTTTCAATCATCTGGTTAAAAGTATGTTTTTCATGATTTCATTTCCTTTTGTTATGCTTCTCCTCTGTCCATAGTTTCTATCACCCAACTCTTCCCCTTCCATTCTCCTTTTTCCCTTTTTTTTTCTTCTTTTGTTTTCTTCTTTCTTTTTCTTCCGTCATCTTGTTCTTTCTTATCTATTGTTTCACATTTCTTGTATTCTATAAACACTGGCCCTGTCAGTAGCAGAATTATTGTTGGACTTGAGGGCCCTGGGTCCATATTCAATTCCATACTTAAGTTTGAAATATGAGTATTTTACTTAGTCTTTGGCTTAGATAAAATACTTAGCCATTTTTATGCCTCCGTTACGAAGTAGCCGGAGGCATTATGTTTTTTTCGGGTTGTCCGTCCGTCCGTACGTACGTACGTACGTCTGTACGTAGGTACGTCCCGTTCTTGTGATCGCGTTATCTGAAGAACCGATTGATGGATTCCTGCCAAACTTTAGTCATGTATGTATCTTGCAGAGCCGATGAACTGATTAGATTTTGGGGTCGCGAGGTCAAAGGTCAAAGGTCACAGGGCTCATTAGGTATGTAAAAACAGCTCGTGATCGCGTTATCTAAAGAACCGATTGATGGATTCCTGCCAAACTTTGGTTATGTATGTATCTTGCAGAGCCAATGAACTGATTAAATTTTGGGGTCATGAGGTTAAAGGTCAAAGGCCACAGTGCACATTATGTATGCAAAAACAGCTTGTGATCGCGTTATCTCAAGAACCGATTGATGGATTCCCGCCAAACTTAGGTCACGTATGTTACTTGCAGAGCCAATGAACTGATTAGATTTAGGAGTCATGAGGTCAAAGGTCAAAGGCCACAGCGCACATAATGTATGCAAAAACAGCTCGTGATCCCGTTATCTCAAGAACCGATTGATGGAATCCTGCCAAAATTAGGTCATGTATGTTACTTGCAGAGCCAATGAACTGATTAGATTTAGGAGTCATGAGGTCAAAGGTCAAAGGCCACAGCGCACATTATGTATGCAAAAACAGCTCGTGATCCCGTTATCTCAAGAACCGATTGATGGAGTCCTGCCAAAATTAGGTCATGTATGTTACATGAGTAGATTCTTGGTTCATAAGGTCAAAGGTCAAGGGCTTATTCTTTATATGAGAAATTGCTTGTTATCACGATATTCTGAGAACCTGTCAATGGATTACAATTGAAATTGAATTCGAAAAATTTCTTCTGTTTTGGTTTGTAAAATTGCTCTTTGACGGAGGCATCATTTTCGACTGCGCGCAGTCGAATTCCATCTAGTTGTTATTCAGTTCAAACTTTTGGCTAAGTATTTTACTCTAAATTTAAGATGGCTCCCTACCAGACTTACATGTATGTCATTTATTTGAAGGCCATAGATGTTGCATGGTGAAATTGTACAACTCTTAGAACCCAAATTCTTTTGGTTCTACCTTCATCTGAGATAATGAATTTTTGTTGTTGTTTATTTAAACAGAAGCCAGCAAATGTTCCCACAACTCAAGCACCAGCGACCCCTCAACCTGCTACCCCATGAAATAATATATTTTTGTTGTTGTTTATCTCCACAGAAGCCAGCAAATGTTCCCACAACTCAAGCACCAGCGACCCCTCAACCTGCTACCCCATCCTATGTACCGATAGTGGCGCTAGCGAAGCCTCCAACGCCTTCTCCTCTACTAGGAGCATTAGGTAATTCTCAATTCAGCTTTTAGATGCAATGATTTTAATATTGAATAAATCATTTCAAATCAATTTGAATCAATTCAAATCATATCATATCAAATTATATTGAATCAAAGTGTATATCTAATGAATCTACTTGTGGTTCTCTACGAAAATAAAGAAATTGACTTTTAAGGAATTGAAGAATGTTTCTCTAGGTTTTAAGAATACCGATTGTAATAAGATATACTTAATTATATTGGGAAGTAACATTATCGTAGCTTTTCAGTGTTAAATTTAACTCAAGTTTATGTGATAATGAAATAACCAAGTAGATTTAGTAGTTACTTTACCAATGAAACATTTCATATATATTTTTCTCTCTTCCTCTATTTACTTGTGCTGTCCTTGTCTCTGCTGTTTCCCCAATCACGAGCCTTAATCATTCTTTACGAAAGTTAGAGGCTGACAAACAAGGGGATTTTACAAATAAATCATGCTAGGACACATAGGGATGGGGAAAACTTTGGATGAACCCAAATATATATGTATTCTTTGTGATAATCCATAGGTCAACCATCGGGCACTGCTGCTGCCAGGGAGAACCTCTCACAACAGCTCCAACAGTCACTTCAGCAACAAACCCAGTTCCGCACTCCCGGTGCCGCCACCACCACCACCATCATCAGCCAGGCGCCAAGCACCGCCACTGCACCACCAAGCACCAACCCTACACCGCCTGCACCTGCTACCACCACCAGCGTCACTGAGAACCCATATGGAGCACCAAGCACCCTCACAGCACCCAGTACCAGCCTCGCTACCGCACCACAAGCACCGACACCATTACAGGCTGCACCCTCTGCCACCAAGCCGGTACCAGCTGCTTCAGACGGTGTACTTCCTGCGCCCACAATGCAGCCTCCTGTACCAGCTCAACCTCCCACTGGGCAGAAGAAGAACCTCTCTCTAACAGTAAGTGTGTTAATAATAATAGTGGGTTCTTGTATGGCACTCATGTCTGTCAGACTTGACACTCCTGGTGCTCCCGATTATTACCCTGGCTTTAGCACGGTTGCCATACGGTGCTCTAGCATTTCAAGGAATTAATTCCTGCCAGTTACCTATTTACATCACCTGGGTTGAGTGTGGCAAATTTAGATCAATGTCTTGCCAAAGGACATGATTAGTGCCGTGGCCGGACTCGAACCGCGGACCTTGTGATCGACAGTCCGGTGACATATCCACTCGACCACGACACCTCTATATGCTATTTAGGCTTCGTGAGGTCAAGAGAGATGTACTTAGCTGGAAGTTCAAGAAGTAGACAGTGTACACAAATTTGTTAAACTTAACAAAACATTGATCTAAAATACACAAGGTTGATTTAGCCTCCTAAAAATGCTGATGATGTGGTTAAGATTATGACTCTGATCTTTTTGCCATGATACTACTGCCCTTTGGGGATGCATTTATCTAGTCCCTTGGCATAGGCCTGAAAGTTGTATGTTACTTACATCTAGTATTGCCTACCTTTTATGCCAGAAAAAACAAAATATCATTTACTATCTTTGAGATGGTTTATTTGTACCTATTATTTATTTATTTGCCTTGCTTTATTACCGCACAGAAAGAGCAAATGCGAGCTGCTCAGGAGATGTTCAGGCAATCCAACAAAGTCACCAGGCCAGAGAAAGCTCTTATTCTCGGATTCATGGCCGGAGCAAGAGGTAAGTACATTTATAGTAGAGTGTATTTACTATTAAAGCCACACTGTACTAGAAGCACTACTGCAAAATCTAGCACCTTTAGCGCCATCTCAGGTCAGCTGTAGCAGTATAGTCCCGCATACCTGCCAACCACTCCGATTTAGGCGGAGTTACTCCGCTTTTTTCATACCCACTCCGAATTCCGATTGCATGCCTCAAAACTCCGATTTTTTGTAATTTTAAAATATTTTTAAAACAAACGACTGTTGCATAAGACTAAAGCATAACACAGCACTGATAACCAGATCACGCCTTACGGGGAAACGATAAACAAAAGTACTTTATATAGCGAATGCCGCCTTATCACATAGCCTCCGCACACAGCGCTGCATGTCGCACGCATTCACTCATAGGTTCACTGAATTTGACTACACTGGATAGACACTTTCGCGCACATGGTCCCGTCCGCCGCCATCTTGTTTAATTCCAAAACAACACGGCCGCTACGTATGCTACGTGCGTTCGTGCCTTTTGAGGGGAGCATGGGGGTAGATGATCGTGCGCATGGCGCCCGCAATATAGTAGCGAAGACTTCGGTGATTCAGCGGGCGCATTGCAAGTGCAGTGCGGTATACGGTGTGTTGTTGTTCATGAACGCCGGGCCTAGCGGCCTGGGCTGTATGGTGTGTCTGTGGTACTGGTGAGTGTACGTGTGCGTGTGTAGAATACGAGCTCTGCCATTTGACTGGATTCGAATTTGCCATTCGACGCTTGAACGAGGTGTTTTCTTCCTGAATATTATCAAGGATTCACTCAAAAGAGCGAGTACCCGAGAAGGAGATCCTTTGACTGGAAACAGATTTTTAAAAACGTTTTTATGCACATCTTTATTTTGGACTTGAATATGGTAGGTTCGAAATGCAGTAAGACTGAGTGATTGGGTGTTTGTGTACGTTTTGCGCGAAAATTATGCTGCGGTGTCTTGCGTTACGGAAAGACCCCCATTTGTTACGGACAAATATGGTAAATGTTACTGACAGCCATCCTATAGGGTTGGCATCTCTGCCCCCCCCCCCCAATCTACGGGCTACTACCCCAATCCTTCGGTGGTTCGCGACCTCGTAGTCCATCCAGAAAAATTTACTCCTAATTTCTCTTGTCTCAGGTTGGCAGGTATGGTCCCGTAACTCGCTGCACTGTTGGTTCTCGCATCGAGTCCTCTGTCTGCAAAGCAGGTATTAGGTATTGGGTTACGCACTGTTGGCAAATTGACCATGAGATGGTAAACAGTACTCTAGGGTGAAAGTTCATCACTTCAGCATTGCTTTAAATACCATAATACCATACTGCAAAATGAAGCTAAAGGAATGTTCGAGAACCAAACTAATGATAAAATGCCCCAAAATATTGGATTTATGGACAATTGGAATCTGTGTTTTAATTAGTCAGAAAGCCCTTCTTTCCATGTTTACATTGTAAGAATTCTCCTACATGTGTACTTAGAACAACTGCATTTAGTAAAACATTATTCTATATTGTTGTCAAGTATGGTGTAATCTTTAAAAAGGCCATACTCATTTTCATTTGCCTTCATCCAATTTTGTTCACATTTATGATTCTGACTTGTGAATTTATATAATATGGAATTTATTAATTGTAAAACGCCTATTGATGTATTTTTGTTATTTCCTTGTGGAAATGAAGAAGCAATACAAGTTTTTAATATTAAAAAAAGAAAAAAATTATGGTGTTCTTGTTCCTCATATGTGACCTTTGTGACTCATTCTCGCTTTCCTTGATCCCTCTACAGAGAATCCTTGTCCCCAGCAGGGTAGCATCGTTACGATCAGACTGAGTGAAGACGTAGAGGTCGTCCGTAGCAATGAGACCAAGGAGGAGACTACCATGTCCGTTGATACCTTCTTTGAGATGAACTATACCACTGGAGAATGGTGGCGCTACAAGAAGTACAAGCCGATCGCATCATGAGGAGAAGAGCCGACATGAACAGTTATTTTAAATCTCTCCCGAAAGAAAGAACTGTTGGTTGTAATCCAAGTGTTAGAGATGGACGTAGTATGCAGAAATGAATGGTAAACATGCTATGTGGAAGCGTCATGGTGTAGTGGTTCTGGTTCTAGTTTTTCAATCATAAGGTCGTGAGTTCAAATCTCACACCAGGACGTTAATTTCCTTCAGCAAGAATTCATCCACATTGTGCTGCACTCCACCCAGGTGAAATGAATGGGGTCCTGGTAGGAATTTATTCCTTAAAACGCAGAGCGAGTGACAGCTGCTCTGCTACAGCCAGGGTAATTATGCTGCATTATTGTAGAGCGCAGAGACTTCTGATAAAGTAAGTGTTAGGCACTATATAAGCACATATAATTATTATAAGAATCCTTGAAGCACGTGGCATTGGACCTGTCAGCTACAGCTTTCCAGGGAGTGACTTTGTCAGGAGACTGTTCCTGGTCCATGTACAGTCATAATGGGTCTGAAATAAACATTGTATCCACTCCTTTAAAGCCCCTCTGCACTAGTTTGGCCAGGAGGGATTAGACCTCCCTGCGTGGGCACTGGCAGGTGTTAATCTCATCAATTCAGCTCTCAATTAATATAAGAGAAAGGGGATCATAGGGGATCAACAGGTACCGCTTAGGCATTGTTAGCTATATAAAGGACGCAAGTAGCTACAAGTAGTGCAGTTCTGCTTTGAGGAGAATAGAACCCAATGAACAGCTGATAATGTACAGTAGAAAAGTCAGCCTATTCCAAAATATTCTTTGGTTACTTAGTAAAGACAACACTTTCCTTCAAAGGGAAATCCAACCATAACAGCAAACTAAACTAGTAGAAAGCAAAAAAATCAAACAGCATACTGGTGAAACTGAGGAAGAAATCAGACAGAAATTAAGAAAGTTATGAATTTTTGAAAGTTGTAATCACTTTACATATTGGGACTTAGAATTGATTGAATCAGTATTGTCACCATGATGTAGTACTGGACAACTTTCCCCTTTCTCCCAAATGTATGACTTGGGAGGGTGTTCTCTGTCTAGAGGACTTATAATAGTTTATTATCCATAATATATTTAGAGTAGTGCCCTAAGGGGGAAGACACTTTGGAGAAAAACAGAAATTGATTATATTTTTGTTCATGACAAACGAGAGAGTTGTCCATGAATATGTCACAAACTTATTGCAAACTTTCACCATTTTGTTTCTTTGATTTTTCTGCTTTCATACAAATGAACTAGTTCCAAACGTTGGATTGCGCTGTAACATTTCCATTTCATTCCATTGTGGTGGCCATTTTGATGAAACAGAGATGTCAGAATGGCATGTACCCATTGACATATGTATAATGGATACAGTGTTGCATAATGAGTGGTCATGGTAATCTGAAGCCACTGGTGTAATAAATGGTAGCCATCTTGTGACCTCGGCATCACACACAGGTGATAATTGTGAACTATTCCTTGGAAATCGTTTTCAAGTTTTTGTTTTTAATAATTTCTTGAAAGCTAGGAAGAAACACATATTTATACACTGAATATAGCTATTCTGAAGAAAAGGGATATAATTTACCTCACATGGACTGAAATATTCATTTGAATTCCATCAAGATTCATGGACGAGCATGTTATAACCTCTGAATCAGTATTGCCATGCTCTTAGCATAGGAGAGAAATGATAGTACAATAATTGTGTACAGGGCAGAGATGAGGAATATTCATTTGGTAGTAGAAACAGCACCCACAATGTGTACAGGTGTTCATGTATAATAATACATTGACTATGAAGACAATCAATCAATTGGAAAAAAATTATGGCGCTATATCAGCAACAATTACTATCATATAATCTATATCCCCCCCAAAAAAGAAAATGTGTGCTACATGTACAGAGTTGAGTGAGTGCACAACATCTCTCAGATGGGTTCTATGCATGTTCTATGATTATATTGAAATACAATATTGATGATGAACATTATGATGTAGATAGAATGGACCTGGCCCTCCATGCACAGACCCTCTTTATTTGCCATATCACATACAAAAAATAGGGTCTGAACTATCTAGAAAGTAGACTAACTTTTACATGCTCCCCGTACTCTGGCTGTACTTGGCAGAACTTGGCAGAAACGTTATCATGCTTCTTCAAGCGCGGGGCAGGTCACAAGGAATTTTCATATATAAAAAAAGAATAGGTTGTAATACAATCGAAGGGGAAGACTAGAAAATGTTGAATAGTGTCTATAAAATGACCTTTTTTTCTTCTAGAGAGAAAGAAATAAACTTTCACTCCATGTATTCACTGTTTGTATTGCATTTTCTGTCAAGACACATTTTAAAATGTGAAAAGTACATGCACTTCTATACAAATATGATGAAAATAAATATTGATATATCTCAAAAGGCCAACTTAAGTAGATGACATACATGTTCTTGTTAAACGTAGGGCTGCAGTTTTGATGAATGTTGTCTAAAATGTCTTCCCCCCCCCCCCAAAAAAAAAAAAACAATATTGGTGTCTCAAACTCTGTGTATTGATGTAGTGGTGCTTGTCTTTAAAAGCTGTCAAGAATATTGTAAATAAAATCTCAACATGAATTCACATTTATTGTTTGCTGTACACCTTGCAGTTGTAACGAAATTCATCTTGAAGAATTAAAGCCTCGGTCACAAATGCCATTACGAACTGCTACGAACGCAGTACGAACGATTTTCAGACAATGGAAAAACGGGGAGATTCGTACGAACCTTTGTGACCATAGCTTTACTTGTTATAGTGATATCATTATTCAATGTAATTCACTTCTCATCATTTTCTTATTTCAATCCCACATATTTTTATCACAGTATACCTGATAATGAAACATATTTACTTGTTACAAAATTATTGTGATATATATATATATATATATATATATAGTTATATAATCATAAGCATATCAAGTATCACAACATATATAGAGTTAATATTGACTAAAAATTAAACTGCTGTGGAAGGAAGGGGGAAGCAATGTAGGAGGTTGGATAGAGAGGGGGAGGGTGAATTGTTGAATTGAGAATTTACAATGATTCAACCATAAATTTTGACAACATTCACAGAGATCAACAGTTCAATGATAATTGTACTAGATTTTAATACATATTCATGCAAATGATTATGGAAAGGGAATTTCAAATATTACAAGAACGTCTTTAAGAAGATTTCATGAGTACAATCTAGGTTGAATAACCTTGTTATTTTACTGGGGTTTAATGGTTAATAATCACTGTCTGTGAAAATACACAATCACACGGCAGAACACAAAACTGTAGTGTCCCTTTATAGAACTGGTCGTAATAGCGCCCCCTCTATTTAAAGATGATGTTCATTCACAAGCCTATCATCGCATCGCATACACACTATACATCAACGGATCAACGCCTCCAGACTATTGGGGATAGGTTTGAAGACTTCTAAAGAGGGGGGTATGATCGATGATATCAGAGACTCAATGAGTAGGCGTGTCTTGATTGAAGAGAAGATTAGATAGAAGACATAGTCATCCTCTCCATTTCGGGTGATTTTTAATTTGAGAAATGATGGTTTAAGGAAGTAGTGGGATTTTTTTAACGTTTTATAATTGTTACCATTTTTTCTGATGGAGTACATTTCACTTGAAAAGGTGCAAGAAAATTAGAGAGAGAGAGAGAGAGAGAGAGAGAGAGAGAGAGAGAGAGGAAGAGAGAGAGAGATGAAGCGGGAGAGAGAGAGAGATAAGAGAGAGAGAAGATATAGAGAGTACGTAAGTGAGAGAGAGGGAGAAAGAGAGAGTGACAGGAAGACAGAGCAAGAGTAGAAAAAGAGGGAGAGTAACAGACATAGACAATAAAACAGGTCGGAAACATTTTACAGTATTATGTATAAGATGGTCATATCATTTTGGCTACTTAATCTCTTAGTTTTCTTCTCTATCCCTCAACCCTTCCACCCTTTATGTGTCTTCTTTTGACTCTCCTCTTTCAATATCTCTCTTTCTCTTTCCCTTTCTCTCTTCTTAGGTCCTCTTTCGTTCTCTCTCTTTCTCTCTCAATTTCTCTTTCTATCCACCTCTCTCCTCTTCATCTCTATTTCTTTCCCTCCTTCTGTTTCTCTTTGCCCCTTCCCCCTCTCTTTCTATCCGTACCTATATTTTCCAACCCTACAGCAAGCATTAAGACCCCAATATAAGACCCGATATGAAATTACAGAGGAAGAACAAAGTAAAAAGAAAGTCAAAGGTAAGCCACAGAGAAGGGACAGCTAGGGGGTGAGAGAGAGAGAGAGCATAGAGAAAAAAGAGAGAGAGAGAGAGAGAGAGAGAGAGAGAGAAGAGAGAGAGAGAGAGAGAGAGAGAGAGAGAGAGAAGGGGGGGGGTCAAGTGGCAGTGACAGTGACAGAACTTGAGAGCCATAGATGTATGATGTCATTTCATTTTGTCCTTATCCGTGTAATTGTTTTTAATCGATTGATACTCCTCGACAAAAAAATTGATAGATCAAATTCTTACTAGTTTCCTCAGAACTTCGTTACAATTTTCTGAGAAGACGTAGTATTTTCCCTAGAAAGAGTATATAAGCGGTACATGTAGTTCCACCTCCCACACTTTTATTTACAGACACGTATTCGGATGACAACAACGGTACAACCAATTTTACGCCTTAGAATAGTACTGTCTAACCCTATCCAAGTTATGACAAATAACAAGACTGGAAAATTAACAAATTTCCATGCTTTTTCTTGACTTCACCCATCCGGCCAGTAGAGAGTTTGTTAACGACTGTAGGAGACGCAATTGAATTTCGTTTTTACATCAGGAACCACGTGACATTTGCTTCACGTTCATCGCTTCTGAAATGAGATGGATTCAAATTCAAGAAAGATTTAAGATATGTCATTTAACCATAGCCATAAAACATACAAACAATTATACAAAAATACAGTATAGAATAGGGAAAGGATCAGAAGAAGAGCAAATGCATGTGAGGAATGGCCCTAAAAGAGAAAGAGAGAGAGAGAGAGAGAGAGAGAGAAATTGGAGAGAGAGAGAGAAGATTTGTTACGTCAGAAGTATTAAGAAGGAACTTTGTAGTGGCGTAGCTACAGAGGGGTACGGGGGCACTCGCACCGGCATCCCCTTCCTTCAGAAAAAGAGGGGATAAAGAAAGAAAAAAAGGGGAGGGGAGGAGGAAGTATTGTAAAAAGAAGGTGATAGGACCCTACATTACCCACCTCATTGGAGGCTCTGTAAATCCGAGCTTGCACCCATTAAGCAATACTATCTGATGCCCCTTCCCCCTCAATACATATGGGCCCACGCTAGGCCATAAATATCACCTGGCCAGCTTGTATATACCCTTTTTGCATTGGCCAAACAAGTTTACATAATCATGCATTATTAACGTTCCCAAAAGATCTCTTGGAGGACTGACATTTTAGGTCACAACTTTTGTCGTCTTGGGGCGTTCTTTTTAGGTTTTCAAGGAAAGAGTGATAATTAACCTTCTTAAACAGGTTATTTCGTAAGGTTAAAATCATGTGCGCTACACGTTTGTGTTCTCTTTCATAGAACGAACAGAAAGTGGGTGGATGATCAACACAATCAATTATAGATTTCATCTCGAGCGTAATAATGTAAAAAAAACATGGATTCAATGAAAATCACCACTGCCCTGTCTGCTGATAGTTAAGAGGATTTTATTTTCAGGTAACCACGCAGTGTATTAACGTAAAATACCTCCTTCTATCCATAGGCACAATTTAATTAGGGGCTGACGATATCTTGTACCGGAATCTTTACTCTCCACATTGTAGTTTGCGAGGGAGCAAAGCGAGCAAGCAAACACATGCTTTATCATGGCGATGGTATCCATTGATGGTGACCTTTTTTAAAAAAAAAACCTTTAAACGTTTAATGCAACCTTGTCATCCAGTTTCAACAGAGAAATTTTAAACAGAAGAGGAGATCGCCTCGATGTCAAAATACGAAG